TGTTGAATATTGAATACTCGCGCAAACAAGTGAGTTTTCAGTACCAGAAAAGTTCGCGCAATACTATGTATCTCCAAAAAGGTAATAAAGGGGGCATTCGCGCAACCCTATCGCAGCCTTTTGAAAAAACCGTGCAAAAATTAAAAATCCCGCCCTTCCCGAATGAATCTTTCTACATCTTTGTTGATCACTTAGCGTCGTATTTCAGTGAAATATCTCGAAGAAAAAATCCTACTTTTTTTCAAGCTGTTTTCGCAGCGTTTCCTTGATTTTTTGGAAAGGGTGGGAGTCAGGCCAGGAAAGGCTTTGGAAAGGGGGTGTAAGGCTGCGTTACGGGTGCGTTACAAGAGAAAGGGGGGTAAAAAAATCGGAAAAAGTGCGTTGCGTAATACTGGAACGGCAAAGCCCCAACTTGGACGTTTCCAATTAATTGCGATTGTGCCCCCCAATTATTTGTGGTAGTATATAACCCAATTTTTTGAGGTAGTAAACCACTTAATTGTGGTAGCACCCCAATAAACTACGTATTACCAACCCAAAAATTGCGGTACCACTCCAACTCGAGTTGCGATACAACCAAAATTAATTGGAAAAGCCCATATCATTCAACAAATTGGGGTAACACCGCAATTTTAGGGGATAACTCCTAACACCATTTTCCTAACATTTTTTTTTCGGTGTAGGCTGTCTGGCTAAAGGAAGTTCCTCACTTGAACTAGGAGATAAAAAGAAGAGAGTCAAAAATAAATTCTAATCTGAGAGAATATTTAGAGCGTAAAAAATTAACGCAGAGAAAAGATTACGGTATTTGAAGCTCATCGTCGCAATATCTCATACAAATTTAAACCGGGAGACTTTTCTTACAAGCAACGGCAAACAGAGGAGGGAGAACGGAATGAGCCTTTTTGAAGTTATTAAATTGAAAGACTTGGAGAATATCACGAAATGAACCAATTAAAAAACTGAAAAAGAATTAGATGATGCTAAGAAAAGAAGAGTTGGAAAAAACTAGATGAAAAGATGGCAAGACGCCTCGTTAATTAAAATTTGATATCAATAAACTCCAGTGGCGTGGCGTGAATTGCGATATATCGATTGTTATGCCATTTAAACCTATAGTAAAGAATCGATTATTAAGGTGTTCGCTGTGAACACCCTGTTTATCGATCCTTTTCCATAGGTTTAAATGGCATAACAATCGATAAATCACAGTTCACGCCACGCCACTGATAAACTCTCGGCTGAAAAGGCGAGCGGGGAGGTGCGAACACTAAACGAACCTTAACTACGCGAAATTCAGCAGACTAATCCAATTATTATATTTACAAACTTGACTACTTGAGCATTGCGTTCATTTTCGGGTGGAATCTGCAATTTAAATGACTCCGCTAAATGTTACGTACTCAGCCGAAAGTGTTGGGTGACTCTTGATTGCTTCCAGCGGGTTGAAGTAATTCGAGAGCAATTAAGTTAACCTTTCTCTCGCCTTGTTTGCACGTCAATCATTTCTATGAATTATAAAATCGAGCAAGTTCGCAGGGAGGAACCGTCTTTTAGCGTGCGTAATCTCGATAGAATAGATAATTTCGCTCAGATTTTTATCTGAAGCAAGTTGGTACATCAAAAATGTTGAATTTTTGACCTCGGTGAAAAGTAGTCGTCCTTTTCACACTGGTAGAAAATACATTTACATAGGATACAGTCGCTTAAAAATTCGCAAAAACAAATCTAATTTCGATCCGAATTGGTGTATAATTATATCTCATTAGGGGAAGTTTTGTTACGGAGGTGAGTAAAAGCCCCGTGGCGTAGGGGTTTTCCTGGATACCGTGAGATGAGATTAGGGAAATATTTTGCTTGGTATAGATTAAACCCAAACTTAATGGTAAATAAATTTAATTTAAAGCAGATGTATGATCATCCAAAGAGTCTTTGTCCACGGGCCAAAAATTTTCGGTCGAGCGAACATTGTTCAGTCAAGTAAATAAATTATTTATTGAGATTTGACTTGGAAATTCTTTGTTTAATTGGAGGTCATTTTTCCTACCTCCATATAGTCCTGTATACATATAGTCGTCCCTTGAGCAGTTTCTTCCCTCAGGGCAGATCGGTAGATGCAATTTTGACGGGAATCTACGCAAAATATGGATGAACTCGAGAGCTATGCGCTGAGGTCCCAGCCCCCCTCCGGAACCGCTACGCGCCTTGAGCGTTATGCAGTACGCGATACTCTTTAGATTTCCTATTACATGGAAATATTTCTGCCAAACGGAACTATGTTTATAAACAAATGCACCCTGAGACCCATAAGAATATATACATATCAGGGCTCACGACATAATGCACATAGTTCTGTTTGGCAGAAATACGTTCACATAGTATGACGATTATAGAAAAATTCGGCTTCAGCATCAGCAATCCGGCAATATTTTGATAGCCTTCCATTAGGCGTATTTCCTTAGCTCAGTAGAATAAATGCGACCCCTAAACTTCAATTATTCGGACAAGAGGGAAGCTATTATTGAAATGAGTTATCGGTCTGAAGAGAAGATCGCAAAGCCGAAAATTAATCGAGATGTGTTATTTTAAGGAGGTTCAGACATTGCCATCGGATGAAAGTCAATACCAAGACGGAATTATGTGCCATGTTTTCATTGAGGCCTAGCAAAACACATTTACGAACAAGAGCTCGGCCGAATGTTTCAATGACCTCCGAAAAGGGTTGAAATAATAATCTTAAGTTCGAAAGTCCTTCGAAATATCCGCTTGCTGCGCCACGGAGTAGAATTTGACGAGTTTTAAGTTTCAGGCCCAAGGATATGATATATCAATCCCTCGTTCAATTTGATTATTTTAGTGAACATGCAAGATTTCTACGTATTTCATCAGGGGTTTTATTCAAACATCTATACTATAAGCTCCGAGACCTCCTAAATTTTCATATCTGGTGACGCTTTGTTCCAGCGTTTTACCGGGCCGATTTTCATGATTTTTACTGCTATCGACAGGCAGTTGTCTTCAAATGAGCTTGTTTTATACAGATTTTGAAAATAGTACCCAGGTTTTTTTATAATACGTGGTAAAGTTACGAATTCTCCAATTTAAACAATGCAGTTTTTATTTTTGTCACAGTTCGTTTGAGCCTTCTACAAGGCCAATTTCCATAATTTTTGCGACTATGGACAGGTCACCTGCCACAGGTGATAGTCCCTAAATGAGCTCGTGGTAATCAGAATTGGACGTATTTCTATCAAACGGAACTATGTGCATTAAGACATGAGCCCTGAGACCCATAAGAATACAAGTATAACAGGGCTCACGTCACAGTGCACATAGTTCCGTTTGATAGAAATACGTCCAATTGAAAATAGGACCTGGGTTTCCTTTATAAGAGTTAACCAGAGAGGTTCGACAGAGCACAGGGGAGAATTTCATGAGCCGTCCTGCGCCGTCCGCAGCGCGCAAGGCGCAAGACCCGCCTTTCATTATTACACTTCATCTAGCGTTGAGAGTTCACTAATTACTTTACGCGACTAGTGTGTAATTTCAAAAGTGGAAAATTAAAAAAAAAATTAAAAAAAAAAAAAAAAAATTTACACGGCACACGAGTTTCTCCGCCAAGGAGCTCTCCCCGCAAGAAATCGTTCACTACCCGCCCGCTGGAAGAGCCGCGGCTTGTTGCCTGCGTGGAACGCGCACTGACGCCTACAAACCTAAGGGGATACTTCACTTATTGCGCAATGCTTGAAGTATCCCTTTAGGTTTGTAGGCGCCAGTGCGCGTTTCGTGCTGGCAGCACGCCGCGCCGCTGCTGATTTTAGTGATTGAACCCATCTATTCGAAACTGCCCTACTCCTAAAACGGCATCGTGAAAATGAGAGTTTTGATAGTAAAAAGCTGGTGAAATCTGCAAAACTTGACGGCTATGCACTTGAAAATCCCTTCTCGAAGCCTCTCTTCCAGTTTAAAACGATCTACCACTGGCGTGGATGTTGCTTTCCGTTAAAAGATAGTGTCTCTCTCTTGTAGGAAGTACTCAGCTCGTTTCTCTGGGCGATGAACTACTCTTCCAGTTGTTAAAGGGACTTATCCGTCTAGGATAAAAGGGTGCCTTCGGGGTGGCATAAAATGAGAAAATTTACAGGAGCGAAATATATCTTTATTTTTAAAAAAAGGAGGAAGGCTTTCTCGTTTCTCGCGTTTCTCGTTTTTGTTTGTTAAAAGAAATGAAAAAATACCAAAAACTTAGGTTTCTATTAGTAAATTTTGTGGAATTCGCCAAGTGCATTTACTGACCCATCGAAACAATATATTTAAAACAGTTATTGAAGGAGAGATAACAAAGGAATAATGCGTGGAAGAAATAATGATAGATTAGGCGAATTTTATTTTAAGGTTTGGAACTAGGACCGAATTTTGTTAGCTCTCTCACGTAGAGATTCAGCATTTATTGATGAATCCAAACCGCACCACCGGCCAATCAGTGGGACGATTATTGAAATTGATAGACAAAGCTATAGACAAAGAAGAAAAAGGGAGTATAGAGCGATCCTATGGGTGAAATGAGTAGTTCCTACAGACTAAGAGAAAAAATGATGGACTAACTTTAGGGTCTCTCGTGAGTTGCCTTTAGTTAGTCTATTACCTACCTCCTTTGTCTATTGCAACCAAGCGCCTCCACCAATAGGATCCCTCCATATCCCTTTTGTCTTCTTTATCTATAGCTTTGTATATTAATTTCAATAATAGAGCTGCAGAAGCGCTAAGGCGGACCAACGTGAAGTCGAGACTTGTCCAAGTTTATTTAAGTGCTGTGGGAGGACCAATGAAATTCGGCCCCTGTTTTTGCGCCTCAACTTCGTAGCAACAGTTGATTTCAGTTTGAGGATCTCACTTCCGGCGATTGACGAATCGCAGCGCAGTATTTCAGCAAAATGTGTTCTATGTCTCTATGTTTTCCCTTTATAATCTATGCAAATTTATCTCTTTTATGTTGACAGGACCCAAGGTTCAATCCAGAGATTGACCAACGGACGGGGTACAAGACGTCGCTGCTGCTCTGTGTGCCTATCTGCAATTATGAAGGCGACGTCATTGGAGTTGCTCAAATCATAAATAAGACTGATGGTAGCGATGCATTCACCGAACGTGATATTGAGGTTAGTAACACTTGTCGTTTCTTCTCTGAAGTAAGGGCGCACAGTGGATCGAGCCAATCAGAGAGGTCGGACATGAAATTTTTTTACTAAAACTGTGAATTTTGATGTTTACTTTGTTACATTTTAAACTTTAAAGGGTACGGCTAGAAGAAAATATTACGAGGAAACCAACGAAACCACTTTCAGGACCTCAAAATTTTGTAGAAACGGAGTTATAAACTCTTGAAGTTTTCAAATTATTTCCGACCTCCCCTATTGACTCGGTCCACTGTGGGGTGTATCTCTATTTCAGAGCACATAGAGTCGTAATAGGAATGGAAGAACTGCCGCCAGGTTTGAGCATTTTCCAGTCACCGAATTCCATGATTCTTGTGCGGTTAGGGGTCACCATTTCGATACATTAATCGATTTTTTGTGATACGCGAGTGCCCGGCATGGGTTTACTCCAGTGGCGTGGCGTGCTTTGCGATATATCGATTGTTATGCCATTTAAACTCATGGAAAAGGTTCGATAAACAGGGTGTTCGCAGCGAACACCTTAAAAATCGATTCTTTACCATAGATTTAAATGGCAGAACAATCGATACATCGCAATTCACGCCACGCCACTGGTTTACTCATGGGCTGGGCACAATCAGTACGTAAGAAAGGAACATTTAAGCTTGGATTCTTTTGCCTTTCATCACAGACTATTTATTTTTTTAAATGATGCATGATGTACTTAACAGCGCAAGTCCTATCACTCGTGGTATTCAGCTGTAATTTTAATAAAATATGAAGCTCATGAACAATTTTTTGCGAATCTCGAAGGAAATAAAATAGGTGGCCTCCGTTATAATTTGATTGTATGTTCACAGGTATTTCAACGTTACCTTACGTTTTGCGGCATTGGTATCCAGAATGCTCAACTGTTTGAGATGTCTGTACAGGAGTTCAGGAGAAATCAGGTACGTCCACACTTTTGCCAATAAATGAAAATTATTCGGTTTATTTTTTAATTACAAGAAGTAGAATAGGTGTGGCATGCAGCACAAGAAACAGAGCTTAAGGATGTTATGCGTTACGTGTTACTCTTTTGGTTTTATATTTATTTAAGAGTAAGATAAATACGAAGAGTCTTACCAGGGGTGAGTTGAAAAAAACACTACAGTAGATGATAACATGAGCAATTACAAGTGACAAAAGAAATTTGTACCCTAAAATCTTTTCTCCCGAGATCTGCCGACAGAATAAAATGAATTGGGATATTTTGACGGACTGATGACAATTAATTTTAACCTAAAATATCTTCAAAGTGATGAAACTTGAATAATTTCTATCGAAGACAAATTCATACATAAGAAAGAACACTAGAGTATGTCTATTGTTGGAATTACAAAATGTATAATGAGAAATCATATAAATAACAATTCGAATAAAAAAACACTGTCTCCTTGAAAATTTTGCCCTTTACCCCAGGGACGATCACAAAATCGTGTACTTTCTTTAAATTACACTGAAAAAAATAATCGGTGGGATTTACCAGAGTTTGGGTGTTATTTACCATACTGTCTACTTGATTTTTTACACAGTGAAGCTGCAGCATAGTTACCAATATACCGGTATGGTAAATAACACGATACGGCTGACACTATGCGACACAGTGCCAGTGTGGCGTTCCCGACTGACTAGTATGGTAATTTCAAGCATCCAGATGCTGCGACAAACCTTGTAGATTCTAAAATCCACTCATCTTATATTATTAAATGCTTTTGATGAAAGTCGTGGATATTTTACTTACATCTTACTTTTAGAAATTCCGTTACATACACAATCAATGGCAGTTAAAGACAGTTTCAACGAGAAATAGCAGATAATTGCTTCACTGATTTCAAGTAAATGATACCAAAACCATACTTGTTATTCGCGTTAAGGTATCATTTACAGACTAAATCAGATCCACGGAAAATTTAATTGCATATAATAAATAGATAGTTCAAAATATACCCACAAAAAGACACTACATGAAAATCCAATCGCACGGTTCACGGTGGGGCAGAAGCTGCCAAATTTTGCTTAAAGTTACAGTTAAACATCAATCCCACGCACATTTATCTCTTCATCTGAGTATGTTGAGCTTCGAAAATTTTAACAAGAATATAGATATACCTACGAACGAAGTATTCAAAAATCACTTCTAGTCGATTATTTTCAAATTACTTCCGCACTTTTATGTTTTCGAAATGACTTTACACAGAACCGATATTCACTGGATTGCAGAACAACTTTGCGAAGGTTTTCAAATTTTCAGGATTCCTTCACTTTGCAAGCCAGATTCATTGTAGCAACTCCTAACCTCCAGAAATGAGCTTGTTCAGCAATTCGTAATTCTTGCATTTTTGGAAACTAGAGAGTGCACAGAGTTCACAGGAATTTTCCCCGATTTTTTTGAGCAATATTAACCCACGAAATACGAGTCCAAAAGTCCGTATTTTGGGCTCCCATTTAAACGCGCGCCGCTTGGCCCATCTCAAAATGGCGCCCATTATCTCCGTCCGGCGGCGGCCACACTTTTGACCCGGCGTGCCAGCGAGGTACCTCTGCATGCCTCTGCCGTGTGTGGGTCGTGTAAACAAACGAAGATTGCTAACACAAATGATCCAAACAACTCGAAATCTCTTAATTTTAATTAATTTAAATCCATTTTCGACTTCAACCAAGCATTTGGCAATAATATTCATCGTATTTTCCAACCAGGAGCCACGGCCTATCGGCTCATTTTAAGGTGCATTCTGAAAATCAGTCTTACAAGTCCAGTGTCCAAATCCAGACTTTCTTCTTTTACTTTTTTTTGACCATTCTCTTTTCATTTTCGCCTCAAATCAAATGTTTTGCAGTTTCTTTGTCTTAAGTATGTGGTCCTGAATTCATTCAAGAGCTAGAAGTTCACCATTTATTTAGTATTATAAGCCTTTTGACCTCTCAAGCTTTACCGATATGATCTCATGTAGTTCAAGGTTTCTTTGGCCCAAACCAAGTGATTACACATCTGATGTGTGTCTTATGGCTCTTCAAATTCGCAGTTTAGAACTAAATCAGAGACTACAGTTACTTAATCCAGTTCTGCTCTCTTGTTCAATGTTTTTCATAAGTGTTTGTTCGTGTCTGTTCTTTATAAGTGACCACTGTAGTGCATATACACAGTTATGATATCGGTACAGGTATTATTTCTTGTTTTCTTCAGTCAGGACTTTCTCTTAAGCGCAATAATTTACCAAAGAAATTCACCTAGTTGCGTAAATAATTTGGTGTATAGATATTCTGTTACTTAATGTCTCCTTGCGGTGATGCAAAGTTTCTGAGATCTGTCACAAGTGGATTTTGCATTTAGACGGTCACTCTTGCCTGATAAAATTACTGCTCTAGCAGCTTCAAATTTATACTTTGATCTCTGATTCATCACTAAATGACACTCTTGCGGTGTCATTTATCTTTAATCAGTTCAAAGCTATTTCGACAATGAATCATCAAAGGTCCGATCGACGAAGGAATTTTCTGGTGAGTGCTGCGGCTCAACCGACATCACAACTCAACTTTCAATAGCATCAACTTATAAAAATTTATCAGGAAGTGGTAATGGTAAGTGGAAATCATGGTAGTGCTCGCTTCTTTCATAAGCAAATTGTGCGCTTAAAATTTCAAAATCTACTAACCTGCATGTATATTTGAAGAGGAATACGTCATGATATATAGCAGGCTACACTTCATCTACGAATAATACGTAAATTTGCCTTGAGAGCATTCTTAGGAAACTTCCACAATTTTTAGTTTTGTTCCTGGGAGAAAATTTTGAGATGACTCTGCTGGTATTCCCAGGGTCTTTTCAGAAATTTTGTACTTCATAGGTATCATCAAATACTTAAGTATCAACAGATATTGTACAAGACAGAAAATTTATTTGAGGATTCCTGCTAGTATGTTGTGTTTCCTGCAGCAACAAGGCTCATCATATTTCATGGAATGAAGTAATCAAAAACTACTTACTAACCTACAGCTTCGTCAGTTTCATGTCTTTCTAGAGTGAAGAAATTATTTTTTTTCTCTCTATTTAAGAATTCAGGGTGAATCAAACCTGTCCAACAAAAATTTTAATAAAATCCCTTTGTTCAGAAACACCTAAGAATCATTTCAATGGTAAAGTTGCCGACTATTCTTGTTAAAAGTCCGAAAGTCGGCTGGTTTACTGAATTTCTCAGGTACAGATGGATGGAAGGATTTTGAAAAGACATAGAATTACATCCTCCCATAAGAATAAGTCAGGAACATGGTTAAGGTTATCTGGGGATGACATTTGTAACATTTCGTTGCATGATTTTATAATCGAAGAGAAACAGAAAGTCTGAAACTTTGTAAATCTACGTAAGTGGTTTTCTAGTTAGGCTATGACATTGATATGCTCGTTTTGTTATCAATTAATTTCCACAAAGGTAAGCATACTTACAAAGACTGTCCCACAAGAGATGCGAATGTAACTTGTGATACCTAAGTGACTTTACAAATCTTACCTGTTAAACTACCAGCTGCCCGATTATTGAAACTATGTCAGCCCGACATGAAAAGACATAGCCCTATCATATCCATGCAATATATCCGAATTTGATGTCTTGTCAGGTTGCTCTAAGCCTTCAATAATCGGCCTGCTGATTAGTTGCCAAATATTTTCACTTCCAGACGAATGATCATGTCTTGGTTCATGCTTTTGATAGCAGAGTTGTGATGTCGGTTGAGCCGCAGCACTCGCCAGAAAATTCCTTCTTCGATCGGACCTTTGATGATTCATTGTCGAAATAGCTTTGAACTGATTAAAGATAAATGACACCGCACGAGTGTCATTTAGTGATGAATCAGAGATCAAAGTATAAATTTGAAGCTGCTAGAGCAGTAATTTTATCAGGCAAGAGTGACCGTCTAAATGCAAAATCCACTTGTGACAGATCTCAGAAACTTTGCATCACCGCAAGGAGACATTAAGTAACAGAATATCTATACACCAAATTATTTACGCAACTAGGTGAATTTCTTTGGTAAATTATTGCGCTTAAGAGAAAGTCCTGACTGAAGAAAACAAGAAATAATACCTGTACCGATAGCATAACTGTGTATATGCACTACAGTGGTCACTTATAAAGAACAGACACGAACAAACACTTATGAAAAACATTGAACAAGAGAGCAGAACTGGATTAAGTAACTGTAGTCTCTGATTTCGTTCTAAACTGCGAATTTGAAGAGCCATAAGACACACATCAGATGTGTAATCACTTGGTTTGGGCCAAAGAAACCTTGAACTACATGAGATCATATCGGTAAAGCTTGAGAGGTCAAAAGGCTTATAATACTAAATAAATGGTGAACTTCTAGCTCTTGAATGAATTCAGGACCACATACTTAAGACAAAGAAACTGCAAAACATTTGATTTGAGGCGAAAATGAAAAGAGAATGGTCAAAAAAAAGTAAAAGAAGAAAGTCTGGATTTGGACACTGGACTTGTAAGACTGATTTTCAGAATGCACCTTAAAATGAGCCGATAGGCCGTGGCTCCTGGTTGGAAAATACGATGAATATTATTGCCAAATGCTTGGTTGAAGTCGAAAATGGATTTAAATTAATTAAAATTAAGAGATTTCGAGTTGTTTGGATCATTTGTGTTAGCAATCTTCGTTTGTTTACACGACCCACACACGGCAGAGGCATGCAGAGGTACCTCGCTGGCACGCCGGGTCAAAAGTGTGGCCGCCGCCGGACGGAGATAATGGGCGCCATTTTGAGATGGGCCAAGCGGCGCGCGTTTAAATGGGAGCCCAAAATACGGACTTTTGGACTCGTATTTCGTGGGTTAATATTGCTCAAAAAAATCGGGGAAAATTCCTGTGAACTCTGTGCACTCTCTAGTTTCCAAAAATGCAAGAATTACGAATTGCTGAACAAGCTCATTGGTCGATACGAATAACGAAAAAATCTCAGAAAATGTATGTGGCAGATCAATATAGATAGATTCGAAGAGAAGACGGTACCTTTAGGGACAATTCGAACACAAATTTGGGCAAATTACGCGTGGATTCACATGGATTAATATGGATCAATAAAACACAGCCACGGACTCCGACCCTCAACGTGATAAATTTATAACTGACAAACAGACAAACGAAAAATGGCGGACCACAGACCGCAGCGCAGTCAAGCGGGAGCTCTCACCACGCTGACTATACCAGTATGGTAAATTTAACCTACCAACACCATGACCAGTCGCATACAGATGCCTACAGATATCAAACGCAAGTGTTACCATGTTATTCCATACTTTTAACTCATCGTATGGTAAAAAATACCCAGCTGATGGTGAGAAATACCTAAACGATGGACAGACACACCTAACTGATATTTACAATCCGGGTATGGTAATTTTTATATCGAGTATGATTCTCACTTTCATCTAGATGCTTAAATCGACCATTATTTGGCTTTTTATCACCATATTTTTTTTTACTATACCATTATGGTCAATCCCACTTCCACTTTTTTTTCAGTGTAAAGACTTTTATAACTTCAAATTTTTCTGTATTTTATTTCAGATTTTGCTGAACCTCGCACGTAATATTTTCACAGAGCAAAATAACCTAGAATGTTTAGTCACAAAGATCATGACTGAAGCAAGAGAACTGCTGAAATGCGAACGATGTGCTGTTTTTTTACTGGACTCGGAATGTGGAGAAGCTGTAAGAATTTAAACCTCTCCTTGGCTTCACAAAGAAAAAACGAGTTTCGATACCCTTTTCAGAGACTTAGGACTTAGGAGAGCACTTTAGGAGGAGTTATTTCAAGATTTATTTCAGTCATATCTTGTTAACGAAAACCCGACTACTTCAACGTGATGGAAAGGTCAAAGATAATATTTAAAAAAAAAAAAAAAAAAAAAAAAAAAAAAAAAAAAAAATCCAATATTAAAAACTTTCCAATTGACTGCTGGACAATTTTTTTAGTGCTAAATACCCACCCATTAGAAGATCTCAACAAAAGTATTTTATAAATTTTGTCCATTTTTTTATTTCTCGCACTGGCTGCCCAACAAACCAAATATTACGCAAAGTGCTACTACCATAATGTCGTATATCAACACTTTCAATAGATAATATTTGATCGCGTACCTGATCTTTTAAAATGCATCATTTAACCAATAACTTGCGACATAATCATTGACTAAAATAAGCTAATTACCCGATTGAACAGAGAACATCGTGAAATCTCGATCATGTCCCTTTAGATCATGTCATATATCATGTATCCCAAATGATTAATACATAAGAGTCGCTTTCAAAGCGCCTTCTGGCGCTCTGCGACGCCTAGCCGCCACAAAATTTGGTCGTCCCGCACCGGTTGTGAGATTCTTAACGTTTTATATTAAGTTGTTTCATTCCTGCGGAGAAGTCATTGTATTGGTTTATTTTTTCAGGGTCACCTAGAGAGGATACTGGAGAGGCCAGGAAAAGCAATCGAAGCCCACAAACCGTTGATGCGGAGAGAGGTACGTTTAAAGCCCAACCAAGTCATTTGCAATTCAATGTTCTCGGCTGAAATTGGTTGAATTTGGAGGGGCCGGAACTTAAAAGAATTTATTCAAAGGGGCTGAAACTCTTCTGCCCCACTCTCGAAATGTTTCCCTAATTTTGTGTCATTTCCCTCCATTCTCTAGATTTTTTTTCATTTTCGGACTCTGTCTCTCTAATATGAGAACGGAAATGTCAAAACACTGCAAATGAGTTAGTTGGTTAGTTATTTTATTTATAGGTATTCAGCATCCTAGGCTATTAACGTCTTTCCAAAAAATTTGGAAGATTGGTTTATATATACAAAAATTCAGATTTTTAAATTAAGGAAGGCAAAAAGTTTCAGTAGTTTTGTCGTGACATTGGGCTCATCGCATGTTAGTGGGTGGTTTGAGAGTGCTAAATTCATATACGAGAGGAACTATAGCCGAAACGACGATGACGGATCCGGGAAACCGAACAATATTAGAACAAAACCAATTTCAAGTCGGTCGAAATGTAAATTTTAGTTTCATGAAGTTAGTCCAGGCAAATAAGCCATGAAAGGGGCTGTAGCCTGCAAAAATCCCGGGTAGCAATGTTTTCATCGATTCCTATGTTATTTTTGACGCTGAATCCGAATTTCAACTTTGCGCCATTAAATTCGGACCGGAAAGTTGCCAAATTTGGCAAAAATGGCCTAAAATCGGACTTTTCTCCGGATTATGGCCTGTAACTTGCCAAAAATTGATCTAACGATAAAATTAGTTATTTTCAGAAATAAAGCTCGTTAAATTTCTTATAAATAAGTTCCCATATACTTTTTTGCTCAAGGCAAAATCAAGCGAGCTGGCGGGCTCCGAACTTTGTAAAATGTGCGAAAATTGCGCATACTGTAATGTGTTGGGTTATCCTCATTATTTACATCAATTCATTCCACTAAGTGTAAATTTTATCATCTTCACTCGATTTGTCCAGAAATTACTCGTCGGACGATTAAAACAGGAGACATCGGGCAAAAACCGCGAAAAACACAATTTTCGCTCATTTTTCAAAGTTCGATTTTTGATTTTTGCAGGCTCTTTTCCTTGTTTGCCTGTACTAAGTTGCGAGAGATGGCCTCCATTCGGATGACATTGCTAACTAAGATGGAATTTCACTACCCTTCTTGAATTNGGGGGGGGGGGGGGGGGGGGGGGGGGGCACGGATAGCATAAATCATAATCAGCCTAACCACGTTTTACGCGCGTTGCCTGATTTTCTCTCGTGCTTCATCGAGTCATCTCCCAGGCGCACAGTGGATCGAGTCAATAGGAGAGGTCGGACAAAGTTTGGAAACTTAAAACGCTTATAACTACGTTTATACAGAATTTTGAGGTTCAATAAAGGGTTCCATTGGTTTTTCGTAAAATTCTCTTCCATAAGCACCCCTTGAAATTTAAAATGTGACGAAGTAAACATCAACATTTCTAGTTTCAGTCAAAAATTTTATGTCCGACCTCTCTAATTTACTCGATCCACTGTGCGACGAAAGAACGTAACTCGATTTCAATGTTTTAAAATTTCCGCTCGTAAATGTTATTTTTTACCAAGAAGCTGTTGGGCGCCTCCGGCCAAAAATTGCACAGATTTGTTTTCTAAATACTCGCAAGCATCAACAGTATTTTGGGCAACATTTGAGTAGCCATACCTCTGTATAAACATTATTGTTTGAGCTAATTTTGTAATCTCGGAAATGGAGTTGCACTCTTTCGTCTGAGAAACTACGGTTTTTTTTAAAACAGAGAGCTAAAAAATAGAATGCCGAAAAGAGCTTTAATCGCACACGGTATATATAAGTAATAATAATAATGAATAATGAAAGTCAGAATGTTGCCTAGTTTTCTGAAAAGAGGGAAAATGAAAAATGACAGGAAATGAAGTACCTAACATTTAAGACAGTTACAGTTATTCTGGTCGAAACAAGCCGTTTTTTCGAAAGAACCGTAAAAATATCACAAAATTTACCATCCTTTCGTACCGACGGGTTTATTTATGATTTTGAATGCTTAAAATAATTCATTTTTACATTTGACGAATTCTAAAATTCTAGAATTCACTGATTTTGGGTATTTCCTGTAACATGTACAAAAAACCATCCTTTAATTTATTATTTTCGTCTACATTTAGATTGAAATGCTGATTTTTAATTATCATGTAAAATCAGAGTCTCTGTTATTAAAACGTGTCGAAACTTTTTTGAGGGCATATTTTTTATGGAGCCTCTCGGAGCAAATGCCTAGAAGTTCAGACTCTTTTTTTAAATATTCTCATTCATTTTTTTCACACCAGGACCGTACTGGATGGCAGAATTAATTTGATTTTAACTAGACTTGACCTATCTAAACTTAATTTTCAACCAATGCAATTCATTCTATTAATCTTTGATACTGATTTTACTGATTGCAGAGCAATAACGTTGACATAGCTGATGTTTTGAGTTTTAAGTTTGATTTTAAGGTAAGTGGCTCTTATGTTTCCATCATAATATAATTTTAGGTGGGGTTTCCTCAAACTTAGAAAAAGAAAAATATATCACTATACTTGCTTAGTAAAATGAGAGAGTTTTCGTAAAGACTGAAATAAAAATTGGGTTTCTTACCTACTCATTTCATTCATCAATTATCGTTTTGTATAATCCTAGGGCATTCGCCAATACCTTACCGTGCTAAGGAAAAACGCCGTAAAAACATCCGGGTGTTGACAAATTTCCTTAAATGAAAACTTAATTTTAGGTAACTTATTGATTTTTTCCTTGAAATTTTCAGAAACTGTTTCTGACATTGCCAATTAAAGTCCCTGAAAATTTCGGAGAAAAATGTAAACAAGTTTCCCTGAAAATTTGTATTTTATCTTAGGCAATTTAGCAACACCTGAAGACTCATACGGCGTTTTTCCTTAGTTTGGCGGAACAACACTAAGTTCAATGTTTCAATATAAAACAAAATAAATCATCATCAATGAAATGTGGACTTGACAAAACATGTAAATTGAAACTTCAGAACATTTATCACTATTGAGGGACATACCATTCTTCAAATTTTGTGTTTTGAACTTGTTTCACATACAGTTCGGAAAATACTTTGCTGTCAATTTGAGGATGAATCATAAAGTTCGATCTTTTTTTTCAGAGTATACACTTTACAAAACTGTTTGAGATGCGAGATGGCTCTCATATGTCGGAAGAAAGCAATCCTCAACATCAGCCTCATAGAAAACTGAACCAAATTGCCAAGTACGTTGCGGCAACTGGACAGGTAAGTTATATTTTGTACTGGCGAGATCATTCTTTGAGCATTTTGCACTCAAACTACAAGAGTGTTTATTCAACAGGGGAAAAATTCAAAATAAAGAAGGGCATGCCATAGTAGGTTAAAGGAAACTTTTTAAATCATACTTAGGTACGTCGATGCCCGAAGTACGGAACTACGTATCTCCGTTTTCAAAGTCGCAGACTTCCTGTCATACTTTAGTATTTCATCGGATATCTGGTCAACGTAATTTTTTGAGAACTTTCTTGATTTTTCTTCTCTTTTAGTAGAATATTCCATGAAAATTTCAAGCTTCATATTTGACTTATTTCCCATCGAAAAAATAAAATAGGAACAGAGATTTTGAGACTTTGCTATGGATACGTAGTCTCGCACTCTAGCCATCGACATACATTCTTTTGCACTTTTAAAGACCGGCACCTTTGTAATGCATTTTAATAATCAGTACATTTTGCGGAAAATTGACAACGTCGCGATATAAATTATTCATTGATTACTTTCTCGGCACAATAGGCATCGCAGGAATCAAGCAGGCTACCGTGTAAAAGATCGCGCCCTCAGTTAGTCGCTGTGACGAACACTAAACGAATTTCATTATAACGCCTTGATGCAGTTGATACAACTATTCGGGCTCCATGAATGTCCGTGTTGCATACGCACCAAGTTGAAGGCGTTTTTTACTCTTGATGCACTCACCGCTTCACCCGCACAGCGGCGGGCACTACTGAGAGGATCCCAAACGTCGGATTTGCCACACAGTGGATCAAGTCAATTAGAGAGGACGGACATGAAATTTTTGACTAAAACAACGAATTTTGATATTTATTTTGTCACATTTTAAATATCAAGAAAATCGCACGTAGAAAGCCTTCACAAGAAAATCTCACGAGGAAACCAATGGAACCAATTTTAGAACCTCAAAATTTGACATAAACGGAGTTAAAAGCGTTTAAAGTTTCAGAATTTTGTCCGATTTCTCCTATTGACTCGATCAATTGTGTGTCGTGCTAAGTAAAAACGCTGTAGGAGCATTCGAATGTTGCCGAATTTCCCTCCAGAAAGTATTTGCTTTTTCAGAAATTTATGAATATTTTCCATCGAATTTTTACACGTTTTAAATCAAATTTCGAATAATATCCCTGGACAGGGCCGGATTTACCTATACTTGCCGCCGATGACCCGCCTGTATTTTGCCGCCCCATTCTCATTCGTTTTGAAACATCAATAAAAACCATCAATTGAACGTGCCGAAGGTGGAGGGGTGCATAAGACGCGTTTACTCGTGTTAGACACATTTTTTGCGAAGGCCCTGTCAACATTACTGGCAAAAGTACACGGAACTTTGAGCGAAAGTTAAGTTCCGTAAACCTATCTCTGTGTGGACAAGGCCCTCCATTTATAAGAAATGAACGAAAAAATTATAAAAGAACGAACATAAATGTGGTTTAATAATTTTAACGTCCGTCACTGCGCCGCACTGACCGCGCTGTATTTAGCGCAATGCGTGAAGTATTTCTACAGTCTTGTAGGCGCTATGCGTTTCGCGGCGACCGCTGCAGCTGAGGCTGAGCGCACTGTTTTTGACGCAATGCGTGAAGTATTCACTCATTCTTGTAGGCGCTAATATGTGTTACATGCCGACCGACCACCGCGCTGAGGGTTTCTCCAAGTCCTCGCCATCAATGATCTGTGCGCAGCGCCGCTCCAGGCCAAATTGCGTGTTTGGTTCCTTTCTTAACTCGACTTTAAAGGTGGCTGTCTCTTGTATCTCCGAGAGACGAAAAAATTAGGATTTACTATACTCTCAAGAAATGAGAGATTTTGTCACATTTTCTCGTTTGTAATTTTTTTTCTGAATCCGATTTTTTTTTATACCTACATTTAAAAAATTGCAAAATTTGCCGCCCCCTAGATTTGCCACCATGACCCATGGGTGCGGCCCATGTGGCCACCCCCTAAAGTCGGCCCTGTCCATGGAGCTCAAGTAGTTTTCTAGGCGTTAATTGTAATTCGTTTAGTGTTCTTCCCATGCGATAATTACCGAAGACGTACAATAAAAAAACAATTAAAAAAGCGGGTAACAAGGCTGAAAAATGTTTAATTGTTTTTTATTGTATATCTTGTCACGGGCTGCAGAGCATCTGTCATATCTCATTACCAAAGGCGCTTCACTTGTTAATCTGAATCGATAAGTTTATTCCAGCGTTGCTTATCGTGCCACATTGGGTAGCGAATGTGCACTATGATAATACTTACGAAATACTTCCTGGTTTTTCATTGAACGTTGAGAGTTGCTGTTTGAACATATCTTATTGTTTTGAACCGATTCACATGACTCGAACATCAAAACACGATTCTCTGACCTGCCCAACTGACCCATTCCGCCGCGCTGAGGAAGACGCCGCATGAACCATCAGGCGTTGCCAAATTTCCTTCTACAAATCACGAATTTTCAGGAAAATCAGTGGATATTTCTCCTCCAGTGTTTCCCAGAATTTTTTTCGCAGTTTGATGTAAAAAGTCTGAAAATTTCAAGGAAAAATATTCATAACTTTCCTCATAAATAAACATTTTATCGAGGAAACTTGGCAACTCTCGAATGTTCATACGGCGTTCTTCCTTAGCACGGCAGCATTACCGTTTGAAAAACTTGATGCGATATAACGTCGCTCCTCTGACATAAGGGCGTATCTCGTTTTCGACATGAGCCCTAGAAAGCATGGAAATATATGGAAAACAGGGTTCACGTGGAAATCGAGATACGCCCTTACGTCAGAGGAGCGACGATAAAATCCACAGATACTGTCCCCATTGTTCAATCTGCAAAAAATTGACTCCAGTTCAAAATTCGACTAAATATTGCAAAAAGGAAGGGATAAAGTGTACATTTTTTGACGGCGAGGTTTCCAATTGTATTATTATTTGAAAAAAACTCATTTGTGCGTTCCTTTTTCTTTTTTCCGTAGATTTTGAACATAGGAGACGTTCAATCTTGGTTCGGAGTAACCGACGGCAATCCTGACAGCCAAGAGGAAAGCGAGGAAGAGCAGGAAATCAAGTGCATTTTGTGCATGCCCATTTTGAATGGGCAAAAAACTGTGATAGGTGTCGCCCAGCTGATCAACAAGGTGAGTCTCTGACCATGAAGCCAGTGGGGTGGCGTGCTTTTCGATCTATAGATCTGCCATTTAAATCCATAGAAAAGGATCGATAGACAGGATTTTCTCAAAGAACACTTTAATAATCGATTCTTTACCATAAATTCAAATGGAGAACTATGGAAAATCGATCATTCACGCCTTGCCACTGGATGAAGCCGTGATAATTATAATCCAGTTCAGCTGTCATTAAATAGAAACAGGAACACCATTTTACAGCTGAAGTTTGGTGTAGGAGATGGTAGAAGTAGTTTAGAAAACGCAAAATTAATAAGAGGAGGGGACAGGGATTAACAAACGGGCCACCAAACTGAAAAGGAATCTTGACTTGCGAATACAATTTTGTGAAGGTAAGTGACGCATAGAACACCATGTGAACATAAAAAACGCGATAAAGTAACTTAGACACCTAGGAATACTCAGTTCTAAAAACAGAACTTTTCCACTAATTTATAACGCCCCAGTTTCGCGCCGAGCCGAGTGATGTCATCCGGCACCAATCAGAAGTAAGCACGGGTCACTACGACTTCCATGAAATGCCTATCTACTCCTTGTACATGAAAACAATAGAAGAGACAAGATCATATCTTCAGAAGCAGAGAATTAAATCTCAGTCATGTTATCTTTTGTAAACAAGCAACAATTCCACATTAAACTGCGTTTTATTTATGTCGCAATCGGTATACAAGTATTTTTGTTGGGAGATCTATTTGCCTTAAAATTCTACAATAATGCCTTTATTTTACGTAACAGATGCATGATAACTAATTGAAAATCACGAAGTACTTTACGTTAAGTGAAAACACCTTGCGAACTATACTGATTACTGTTAATTTTTCATTTGCTTTCAGGAGACTGGGCAGCCATTTACTGACTGTGATGTTTCTATTTTTGAAGCCTTTGCAATATTTTGTGGTCTTGGTATTCATAATACGCAAATGTACGAAAGTGCATGTAAGTTAGTTTTTCTCACATTTAAAAACTTTTCTAAATAATTATGATGTCATTTTTACGCTGATCGTTCTATCCAAAATTCACTTAAACCAACTGTTGGAAGAATCTAAAAATTTAGGCCGTATTGCTTCTTGCCGCAGGACACTTTTACACAACACATCCAACTTTTTTGCAGTGGCGTGGAGTGCTTCGCGATACATCGATTGATCTCCCATTTGAATCTATGGTACAGGATCGATAAAGAGGGTGTTCGCGACGAACACCTAAATAATCGATTCTTCACCACAGCTTCAAACGAGGCAAATATCGATAATCGACCATTGACGCCGCGTCTCTGCTTTCTTGCTCAGTAGAGCACCATAAACGCTGACTCAGCGTACTAGTGAACTTCAGCTTTCAAAGCAATTAAAATTGCTATAAAAAAATAGATTGGTATTGTGCAAAATGCTAGACAAGCTCTCACGACTCGCACGCTAACTATTGTGAGTTATATCACGCTCCCGATAATTGCAGGTTCTGCCTCACGCTACCACGGGACGAGGTGGCCGAGTGGTTAAGGCGTTGGACTGCTAATCCAATGGGCTCTGCCCGCGTGGGTTCGAATCCCATCCTCGTCGAAAACATTTTGACAAACATTTCATCCAATTAAGTGACTGATTCAGTTGTTACACTGTAGAATAGTTCTCTCTGACGTGAATAGGAAAAACACCGTAAGAGCCCTCTGGCGTTGCCAAATTCCCTCCAATTAAATAAATTTTTTGGGTAAAACTTGTGTATAAGTTTCTCACAATATTTCAGCGATTTTAATTTAATCTACAGTATCTGAGAAGTAGGGGTATCGATATAAGGGCCTTTTTGGGCCCACCTTGGATATCCTCAACTCTACGATATTCTATTCATTGAAGTTCTAATTTATGGAACGCATTACGATTTGGCTATTTTTGGTCTCTTTTTGGGTCCAGTACTGGCCGATAGAGATAGGTTTGAGGGCTGATTCTGGCTAAAAATGCGAGTTTACAGTCAAATGCCGCAGAATTCGTATTTCTCGCCAAAATCAGCTTTCAAACTTATGATGAGGTCAGTAATGGACCTGAATGAAAAGTCCGGAAATAACAAAATCATGATGTATTCCGTGAAACAAATGCATTCAATGAGCAAAAAATCGTAAAGTTGAAAATTTCCACTCGAATGGGCCAAAAAAAAACAGTCCTTACCTATCGATACTGCCGTGCTAAGGAAAAACTCTAAATGAACCTTCAGGCATTGCCAAATTTCCTTTGATAAAGCACGAATTTTCTAGTAAACTTCTGAATGTTTTCCGTCCAATTTTTCCGATAATTTTATTTCCAATTTCACTTAAATTTTAGGGAACAATATTCATGACATTCCTCAACAATTAACATTTTATTGATGGAAATTTGGCAATTCTGGAATGTGCATACGGCATTGTTCCTCAGCACGGCAGTATACCCCTCCTTATAAATACTGCACATTTTATTAAAATGTCTGAAAAATCGTGAGGAAAATATACACGAATTTCAGAGAAAAGTTTTACTTCATTGAAGGAAATTTAGAAAAACCTGACGGCTCATACTGCGTTTTCTTTAGGAAGGTTGCTGTGGTGGGCCCAAAAACGGAGGTACACTACTTTCGGCGGTATTACTCACGTAGTGCTTGAAGCACCATTACGAATAAGACAAACAGAAACAAACACAATATGTAAAAAGAGGGAGGGAAAGGATGCGTGTTCACGACGGCGCAGAGATACAACTATTCGTACTTGATGGACGTCCGTGCTGCATCTGAAAAATTGAAGGCGCGATGACGCGAAGCGTGAGCTCTCAATGCTGTGCTTCATGTTCAATTTTGCAATTTTTACTCCGTGCGATCAATAAACTTTGAACCTGAAAATAGCGTAAACTTGTGCTGATTTGCCAAAATTTTCTGAGCCCCTCTCCACGTAGGGAATGCCCTACCAAGAAATATCACATTACGCCCCTTTAACCAGCCAAAGGTCTACGCCCTCGGATGCGAGCCAGTCCGACCCTGCGTATTGGTGACACCGGAAATTGCCGGTTGTCATCCATCGGTTTCATTTCATCAGGTGGATGTAGATAATGTAGGAGTGCGTTATGAGGGGAGGAGAGGAAATTCCGGTGTATATCACAAGGTATTTCATGAACGGCACCTTTTCGTACCTAATTACTTAAATTGAACCATGCAATCCGTGTTTCATGACATTCGCACCCATACCACTTTTCTTATGATAATCACATTAATTACCTCTTTTTCCAGGTAAATTGATGGCAAAGCAAAAAGTAGCCTTAGAATGTCTGTCGTACCACGCGACGGCATCGTTAGATGATACTTTGCGACTTATCAACGACGAGATCCCATCCGTGGAAACGTATAACTTGTACAGGTATGTAACATGACAATATTTCGAGGAAAATGGTTGTTATCACTTCTGGACTTTTTCCGGGGCACCCTATTTATATTGATTAAAAGTAGATTGAAGGATTTATCACGAATTGTTTTTCAAAAGGTAATTTTGTAGTGTAGCTTGAGGGATATTATACATCACAGTTGCCAGATTTTGCTGAAAATAAATCAGCACACGAGACTCAATGTAAAAAAAAAAATTGGTTTTTTAGCACTGGTAACAATTTTATACGTTATGACCCTGAGTATAATCGACAGACTGCTGAGGCATGTTTTATAGGTCGAAATAGATTTTCGGAAAAAACTCTTTATCAATTTTTTTCATAAATTTCACCAGTCGGAGAAAAGACTGGCTAAATTTTAGGGAGAGTCATCATTTAAGTTTTTTAAATTTTGGCGGCGGTTATGGGCCAAAACTCATAAAAATCAAATGACATTGCAATTTTTGAAGTTAAATTGATTTATGATATCGAAAATATCGAAAATTCGACTGAAAAGGGAATATCATGGGGCTTTGGATCTTTAAGGGAAAAACATTTTTTTTACCCTCTTGACTCCTGAGATCCCCTCTGACTTAAAATTACTGAGATTTTAGAAGCCTTGGATGAACTCAGCGCTAAAAATTAAGCAACTGCCTTTCTTATCGATGAAACAAACAAAACTTTCGAAAATTGTATGATTTTATTTTCTTCTTAATAACACTAAACAAATGTACATATTAGAGTTAAATTTTACGAGGCACGTGAAACATATATTTAATGATGAGTATTGAGTAATCAACATTGAGTATAGGTAAGTTTTAACATCGAGTAAAATGTATGTTTATTTTTTCGAAGTTAGTCTATTTTTGAGAGAAAAAAAAGAAGAGGAAAAAAAAACAGTCGTCAATTTAAACGCCATACTTTCGTCCCAAAATTTAAACATTGACACCCTAGACTTTATTTTTGACGTGAGACTTTTCAATTCGATTTATAAGAAGTCCGAGAGTTTATTGATAATATAGTAATAGTGTAGTATAGTAGTGTAGTGTGTGTAGTGTGTGTGTGTGTAGTATAGTATAGTATAGTAGTAGTAGTATAGTGTAGTTAGTGTAATAGTGCGTCATCTATGGTATCTTTCATCTTATATTTAGGAATTCCTAACCTACGTGACTTGTGGCGATTGCTGAGCCCTAAACTCCATGATACCACAATGTGTAGGTGTACTACCACAAAGGGAGATGTTCATGCTGATTTGCACTGATGTCAATCATGAGATCGTGGAAAAAGAGGCTACCTAACGAGAGTAGTATATTTAAAAGGCATTTATGTAGATGTGAAACACAACAAGAATAGTAGTGCAACGTATACTATTACATTATAGGTATCGCTATAAATTAAATAAACATTTTGTAAAATCGGTCCATGAAAACACGTGAAAATTGGACAAGACGGTTCTACTTGTTGTTGTTATTAAGTCTTTCTAGGAAGTACTAATCTCTTCAAATTTAAAAGTGATTTTCCCCCTAATTTTCGTGAAAAAATCATGGTTACCAAAGTAGCACAGGCTGCTATAAATTGCAATTACATGGTAAAAGCTAGGACTTATGACTCTTTGATCAAACAGAAATTCCTTAAATTTTCACACAAGCTCAAGGGATCACGTCAAGCTGTACGAACTCTGATGACGTGGCCTTCCAAACAAAAACACAACGGTGGCGCCCCCTGCGCGGAGAAATTCCTTACTTCTCGGAGCTGTAGATAAACCTTAAAGGCCTCGCCAATCTGAAAATGAAAGAATCCGAAGAGATCTCAAGCGAGACTTCGGCCATAAAAACAAGAGAACTCAAAGATAACCCGACAACGAGGACGATGAAACCCGATTGTAAATCTTCCATACTGTAAGGCCGAGGTGCGTTCGTCTCATTTGAACCTCCTCTAGACGAAGTGTCGAACACTTGGTATTCATTGAAATTTTTCATGAGGAATCCTGTCTGGCCGCTCTCCCAAAAATGCGAGATCACCCGATTGAACTTATCGAAGAGGAAAGAATACTTGAAAAAAGGACAAAACAATGGAAACGTCAAGAGGCGTTCCTCCATGACATGATAATAAAAAACCCGAGCATTGATGTATTGGTACATGCCAATGTTCCTCTTCATTACCAGACCATTCGGAATGTTTATCAAAAAGGCGTCCGTTTCGGAGATGGCAAGAGCGTTCCTTGTGATTTCTCTTATATTCCTCTGCTCCCAATCGAATGTTTCGTTGGAGGAGGGAGGAGCCACGACAAACTCGAAAGCCGTTCGACCGTAATATGTAAAATCATCCAACAACCTAGTTTCCAATGATTTAGAGACATCCAAGTGATCGAGTAGACGTTTAGTCTCGTTTGTTTCGAATACTTGAATGAATATGTTCGACTCTTCCAGTGCGTTGAGTGAGTCCACCTCCGGGTAAGGCATCCTATCTTTGAGTAACGTCGTCATTCCGCTGATGAAAACCGTGGATATGATGATGGCGGCGAAACTGAAGACGAGGAAGATGACTTTTCCGGTGTACCAGCGTCCCAGAAGTAGAGAGGGTGGCCTCCCGCAGATGAAGTACGCAAAGACAACCAAAAGCGATGAGGTTTCTCCGTAGTGGTGGATTTGCGTCTCTGTGTAAAGACGATAGAAGAGTTTACACTGGGCGTCTTGGAAAACTCTTTGGATGAGGATGAATGAGATAATTGTGACGAGAACGCAAATCCAAACTGTCAGGTTGAAGCATTTGAAAATAACTAGACTCTGGGGGATGAATTCGCTGTGCGGGGTGGCAATACTGAGGGATTGAGAGTCGATGCTGACCGAAATATCCAAGATCGAGAAATCGGAATCGATTTGAAATACCCCGGTATCGAATGTGTGTAGACTCACGGCGTACTTGAGGCCTATGTTATCGTCGACATACATCTCAGGGTGGTCAAGGTAAATATCCGGGCCCCTTTCTTCAAAAGTGCAATTCAAAGATCTCTCGAAATGAGCGAGCATCGGGATTAGCAGTTGGTGCCACGAAAAATCGTAGCCTTGTTTCGAAATCCTCAAGACGTATTTGCTGAAATAGTTGATGAACATGCCGACGGGTTTCTTGTGCATGTTGCTCCAGGAGAAATCGAAAAAAGATTCGTTCTGCCACGAGAAAATTCTCTCCAGAAAAGGGTCGTACCTGTCGCAGCCGCCCGAGTGACATATGATTGTTTTTCGGCCCTTGAAGAAGCGCCAAAAGAATCTGAAACAAAACGCGATGCTACTCGGACAATCGGACTTTTTGAGCACGATTAAAACGTAATTTCTTGAGTTCCAAATTTTGTTGACGTACAGGGGTCGGGTCAACTCGTATACTGGATCCGACAGAAGAGAATCTCCGGCAAGCTCTTTGGATGTTATTTTCATTCTCATGTCGCAGACGTTTTCATCCTCCGAACAGAGTGGCTGATCATCGATTAAGAAACAGTAGCGGGGTACTCTAATATCATGACTCCTTTGGCGGCACCTGGAACTTGACGAGTTTTTCAAAAATTTCGGGCATGCTGACTTCTCCTTCTCATCGATCAATTCAACCTCGTGTTGTTTTGATACTGAATACAAAATTAAGCTCAACACTTCGGTAATATCATCGAGGAAGAATACCATAGTTTTATCCTGATTATCAGCCTCCATTGTGGTAATGAATTTCCGGTGATCGGATATCACAATAGTCTGAGCCAGAGAAAGGTGCAATCGTTGCATCAGGCGGTAGCTTGAATAATCGGGGTTAAAATCAATCATATAAATTAATTTTTGGTCGGATTCTTCTATTATTTTGGTACTCGACTCAAAAGCCAGCGAAATTAGTAGGCTCCATTCCTCATGCAATATTTGCGGTAGATTTGTAAAACTATGCTCACTGCTGGTAACTAGGATAGCGAAATTGATTATTTTGTAGAAAAATGTGTGCATATTGTCAAATTACTTACTACTTATTAAGTCCAGTTGATTTATTTCTAAAAGTATCACTATTATTAAAAACTCGCGTCACTGTGGAAAGTTGTATTCGATGAGACCATTGGTTTCCTTCAAATAGACTCTTTGTTGCCATCAGCGATGAAGAAAAGGTCAAGGTTTTTGGTCAGGTGCTGTTTGGTTGAAATGCAGGCCGCGCGTGCTTAACACGTGTCTTGGAAATGTCATTTTAACGTCAACTTTTTTCTTAGTGCTCATACTTCGAACGCACTAGGAATAATGATGTTCCTTTAAACAACTGTTTTATTGAACAGCACCATTCTGCCATGCTAAAGAAGAACGCCTTAAGAACAATCGAGAGTTGCCAAATTTTCTTCGATAAAATTTTTGAGTAAAGATATGAATATTTTTCTTTTAAATTTTCAGGAGCTTTAGATAAAATTGCGATCAAAATTATCTGAAAAATTGGAAGGATAATATTCATAAGTTAACCAGGAAATTTTTGTTTTATCAAATAAAATTTGGCAACGCCTGAAGGTTCATACGGCGTTCTTCCTTAGCACGGCAGCATCAGTTACATCACAATCAATGAATCCAGGAAAGAACTTTCCAGTTTAGAGAACATCAATCTTAGCAGAAGAATCGATGTTTGTAAATGTTACACAAAAACATTGGCAAGAGTATCCATAGTATCACCCGCTTTATTCATTGATTTGAATACATATTCCGATCAATTGAAATATCGCGGCTTCGTCGTAAATTCAGGTGACGTCTTCAAGAAGTTTTGCATTTTCCTCTCTGTTTTAAGCGACTACCTACACAATTTCGTCTACAGAAAATAATAAGAAAATTATTAATCAGGATGCCGTTCGAAACGCTTGCCAGACTTTGGTTAGGATGTTATTTAAGGGGCTTGAAAGACAAAGCGCATAAGTGCAGTTTTTGAAAAAATTGACATCTTAATGATTTCGCTAGTCTTATTTTTGCATATTCTGCGAGAAATTCGCTCCCAAATTCCAACTTTTAAGCATCAAAAAGTTAGTTTGAACTTTCTTTCCGCCATAAGGTCCCATGTAATTTCGAAACTTCAAACATGTATTTTTCGAAATATTAAAAACTGCACTTATGCGCCTTGTCCTTCAAGTCCCTCATTTTGCCAATGTGCGTTCCAATTCAGTCTGGAACTGACGTCTCCTTGCAGAGAGAAAATGTTCACGTGACCACTTTTCTCTTGAGAGTGTCATGCTGATTGTTGCAACACTAGTTACCCACATTCAGTGAAGGTCGTTTCAATGGATCTAAGCAGATAAAGGACCCTGAATGAATACGCGGATGTCATGTTGGGAAAATCTTAATATGTTGAAATATAATAAGTGTTGCATGAGTGAGAAATGAAGGCGCAGGAGTATCCATAACACTTGCTCTAATTCGAGCCCTCCCAGAAATCTCACGTGACGTCCCTCGATTTATTTTCTAATCAGATGACAAAGACAAAGAAAAATGAGATAAAAAGGTAACAAGGAGCGTGAAGAAAAGGAGGAAGAAGATGGAAACTAGGGGGAGAGAGGAAGAAAAGACAAAGAATAGGCAACTGAAAAAATAATATGGTAGATTTTACCATACTCTGAAACAGCGATATGAAAATGTTAATAAACACCAAACTCTAGGGTAGCATTTACCGTATTATGGTATGTATCGCCAGAGCTCTGTTGAATATAAATGTAATTCTGGTTATTTTCACTAAATACTATCACTGTGTCAAAAATCAAGTGGGCTTTTGGTAGATGTTACCATAATTTTTTTCGGTGAGAAATGTCTCTTCTTTTCTTTTTCTCCTCCTACTCCTCTCCTGTTGCCTCTCTTTCTCCGCCTTCTCTTTTTCTTCTTCCCTTCTTCATTTCTGCCTCATCTCCTGATTCTGCCTCTTTTTTCTCCGGTTTCTATTGCGTCATTCTCTCTTCTTTTTCTTATTTTTCTTTCATCTTAGAGGTGTAAGTAACCATAGTCGCTAGGACGCCGCTCAGAAATACGTGACTTTTGCCTCCACTCATCTGACATATATCATAATAACGAGTTGTAAGACTTAAATCTGACACGCGATGGTTAATGATTCTCTTAATAATTTGCTTCATTCTTCTTTTTCAGTTTTAAATTTATAGACTTCGACCTAACGGATGATGATACGTGTAGAGCAACCATTAGAATGTTCCTTCAATGCAACTTGGTGCAACAGTTTCATATTCCTTACGAGGTGAGTGAAATATCCAGGTGGTTCATAATCACATGTTCCTTGTCTAATGAAAATGCGTTTTTAAAAGTATTTACTCTCCATACCAAAACACACGCCCTGAGCAAATATTTAGAAATAACGCGATCGTGAGACATCATTTTCAATAGAATTTGACCACGAGCCTCTGATTTTTTTCTCTTTTTTTCCAAAACAGTTTTGAAATTAGATCACCAAATTAACAAAACATTGCGTTGTCACTTTTTCAACAGGTCTTGTGTCGCTGGGTTCTAAGTGTGAAAAAGAACTACAGGCCGGTGAAATACCATAACTGGAGGCACGCTCTGAATGTTGCTCAAACCATGTTCGCCATGCTGAAGACCGGAAAAATGGAGAGATTCATGACTGATCTCGAGGTGAATACCCTTTTAGAAAATCACAGGGGAAAAAATGGATTGCTGAATTAACAATAAATTGTTAAAAAAGTGTCCGACATGTTTCAACGTAGATTTCACCATAAAAAATGCTAATTTAACCACCCTCGTGGTTAAATTAGCTTTCCACCATTGTAAAATGTAGGTACATCTGAAACATGTCGGATATATGTTTTAAAAAAAAACTACAAAAAACCCCAAAAAACTTTCAGATTCTAAGGGGTAAAGAATCCGGCCAAAGTCTTAAACTTGTTGAACCAAATTAGCTTATTACTCCTAAAAGAAAATTAAAAATTACCTACACTTTACTGAAAATCGAATGTGGGCCCCTTCATAAACGAGCGATACAACATTCACTGCATGTGTGTATGTGGACCTCTTGTAGGAGCCCAATCGGTTCGCTCTTTGCAACAAACGCTACATTCGTGAATGGAAAGTCCTTGGAGGAGCACATAACGTCCTCTTTCTTTATTTAACTTATGCATTTTTTATTCAGAATCTTCATAAAATCAAAAAGAAAAGTATGGACTGATCTGAGCCTTATATGTGCTCTAAAACAATATGAAATATTTTATCGCACAAAGTCGAATATTTTTTCTTTAAAATTTAGAGCTACGTAACTAATTCAATAATCATGACTGGTGCATTTGCAGAAAAGTTTTCTCAGAGACTCAGTAAATTCCCTTGCTGAGCTGCATGTATCTTCAAGTAGGCATTATACTTCTAAAAGGAAATGTAGGCCCCTTCATTTAGGAGTGATGCAACAGTCATGACGTGTAAGTATGTTTAGCCCTTGCAGGAGCCTCTCCTCACCTATTTGCATTTTTATCTAAAGTAAAAAAAAAAAAAAGTCGGTAGGTATGGATTGATCTATGAGCCTTCTATGTGCTCCAAAACAATATGAAATATTTTATCGCACAAAGTCCAATATTTTTCGATTCAGGTCCTACAAATGCTTTTAAGAGAGCATGAAAAAAAAAATACTCAATCGACTGGCTAAAGTCCAGTATTTTTCTTAAGAATAGTCTCCTCCTTCAATGAGTGATGCAACAATTGCGACATTTTTATATGAAAAGCCCTTGCAGAAGCCTTTTGATTTGACTCAGCTAAATTTTGAAGAATCACTGACGTGTCCGCAAAAATGCTCTTACTGTAATCATTAGGAACTCGAACGAAAAGGACTCCAGATTACCTAGATATTGAAAATTGTTTTCAGAGTAAATTAATGAAGATTTAAAAAAACAAAAATCATGGTTGAAAATAGCGTTTTTATTTTTTACGCAGAGTAGAATAGGTAAGAGGGTTTTGACATGGATCCTCAGATATCTCTATGAAGCATTAATTTCAGTGACCCGTCTTTTTTACGCATTTTTGCGGACACGTCAGTGATTCTTCAAAATTTAGCTGAGTCAAATCAAAAGGCTTCTGCAAGGGCTTTTCATATAAAAATGTCGCAATTGTTGCATCACTCATTGAAGGAGGAGACTATTCTTAAGAAAAATACTGGACTTTAGCCAGTCGATTGAGTATTTTTTTTTTCATGCTCTCTTAAAAGCATTTGTAGGACCTGAATCGAAAAATATTGGACTTTGTGCGATAAAATATTTCATATTGTTTTGGAGCACATAGAAGGCTCATAGATCAATCCATACCTACCGACTATTTTTTTTTTTTACTTTAGATAAAAATGCAAATAGGTGAGGAGAGGCTCCTGCAAGGGCTAAACATACTTACACGTCATGACTGTTGCATCACTCCTAAATGAAGGGGCCTACATTTCCTTTTAGAAGTATAATGCCTACTTGAAGATACATGCAGCTCAGCAAGGGAATTTACTGAGTCTCTGAGAAAACTTTTCTGCAAATGCACCAGTCATGATTATTGAATTAGTTACGTAGCTCTAAATTTTAAAGAAAAAATATTCGACTTTGTGCGATAAAATATTTCATATTGTTTTAGAGCACATATAAGGCTCAGATCAGTCCATACTTTTCTTTTTGATTTTATGAAGATTCTGAATAAAAAATGCATAAGTTAAATAAAGAAAGAGGACGTTATGTGCTCCTCCAAGGACTTTCCATTCACGAATGTAGCGTTTGTTGCAAAGAGCGAACCGATTGGGCTCCTACAAGAGGTCCACATACACACATGCAGTGAATGTTGTATCGCTCGTTTATGAAGGGGCCCACATTCGATTTTCAGTAAAGTGTAGGTAATTTTTAATTTTCTTTTAGGAGTAATAAGCTAATTTGGTTCAACAAGTTTAAGACTTTGGCCGGATTCTTTACCCCTTAGAATCTGAAAGTTTTTTGGGGTTTTTTGTAGTTTTTATATCAGGTCGTTTTTGGAATGATGTGAAGCTAATGAAACATTTGGCTGGAAAAAGAGAAACTGAGAATAATTTTTTCAATGAGCAGAACTGGAACTCCTTGTTTAATCAACTAAACATTAATAGGGGGTGATTCAGTTTGCAATCAATAAAAGTTACCTGATGTTTAGGTGAGTTTAAACTTCTCTCATCGAAATAGGGTACATAATGTTTTAAAAACTGATGGATTAGCAATTAATTGTCATAGTGTAGGGCTACTTAGAATGAACTTCTTTTGCCGCATAAATTATTCCTTACCTACTCATAAAGTTTCAACATTAATTCTGCAATTCTTACTGCGTTTAACTCAACTGTTGGACATACTTACATTCAGCCACTAAAATTTTAAATTAAATAACAGTGAGACCACTAAGTGGAAAGTCCATTCAAAGAGTTAGGTAAAATTATTTTTTTTTTGGTTCACTCATTATAAAAAGTATTTCCTGTAAGAGGTATTTAATTTATCAATAAAAGTGTGCGTCAAGCCAAGCCCCTTCGGCCACAAAAGTATTTTTTCTTTTAACAGAGTATAACTTCTAGGAATGTGACTTGAAACATGAAGATAAGAAAATTGTACTTATACCTAATATGCACTCCGTTGAACTTGAGCGATTCAGGTAATAATCGACTGAATTTCAACATCAAGTTACAATGGCCTCAGTCAGAAAATTAATTGAAAAAGAGAAAAACTTGCTGCAAATATTACACTGTAAGCTTACCCACCGGGGGGGGCTACCGCCACTCTTGATACAGTATGCCTATATTGACGCTATAGCGGAGAATATTTTGATTTATTTTGCTTAGAGTCGCTTCACCACATAATTTGTCGAATCGTATAACTGGCATGTAAGTAAGCATTTAAATTTGAATGGCGTCTTTTGATTCATGAAAGATAATGAAGGCTACCTCTCAGTTACCTGGTAGTTCAAGAATTCCTGGTAATTTTGTTGTCCACTGTCGGACTAAAAACACCACCCCCAAACTCTTCATCAGAGCATGTTCCGCAGTTGGTGCCTAGGCGCAAACATTTTGATCATAAACGCTATCGATTGGTCTAATCTTTTTCGGCTTTGATTCACCCGATTACATTTATCCATTAAGAACTAGGTTGGCACGCGAACCATACATAGACCCAACGCTCAATTAATTTCAGAGTGCACTGTTTCACTGGAGTAATTATGCTAGAAACTCACTAGGTGAAGATGGAATACTTCTGTGACACAACAACCAACAACACCACAATATTTCCACATCAAGAGTGGCGGTAGCCATCCCCCGTCGAGGAAAATGACGACCTACTAAAGTCCCTATAGCAAAGGGGTGGCGGACACTCTTAGTCACACCTAACTCCCTTAATCTGAAAATTGATTAGATATAGAATGGAATTCAGAGCAAACGGCGGCACGGATTCCAACGATCTTGGTGTCTTTGGACACAGCTAAGTTAGCCGGATGTCATTTGAGGGTTTATTATCTAACAGTCGGTAGCTGCACCACCAGTGTAAGTCCATAACATAGCCTAACTATTTGATGTGTTTACATCAAGTTTTCATATGTTAAAATAGAGAAGGAATGGGCGCTACGTACTTACGATTGGCCCAGCGATTTATGCAGCAATATAAATTCTTGATTTTATAGTAATCATCAAGCTGAGAAAATAGAACGAGTACATACCTTTCATGAAAGACTTTCTTACACATTGACTGGCCACATGGTGATTCTAACAACTTCTGACACAAAATCAAAGAGACTCGAAGAAAACAAATTTAAGCTAATACTCATCGTCAAAGATCTCTGATTTAGGGACATAAAGTTGACTTAGTGATTGAATTATACCTCGCATCCCCGCATATCTCCATGATGTAAACAAGCAACGGTAAGAGGCGAAGCTTCCCAAGATTAGTCATGAAGAACACAAGATCTTAATGTCAATAACATACACTTAGGGAAAGCACAAGCACTCCAGAGCGCGTAGGTTGAAAGCAAAATTTGAAGCGAATAAATTTTGGTCAGAGCATAATGACCGTGTCGCAAGTAGTGTGATGGGCGAAGGCTCATATTACAGTAATTTTTAGATCTTTTCTTGAGACTGATAGGGTCCACTGAAAACAACTACATCTCTTCAAGTTATGGAAACTAGCATTTGTGACTTGAGGAAAACAATAATGTAATTAAAAACTGAGAGTAATGGGCTCTCCCTTCGATCCATCGGTGTGCATGGTAGAGAAATATTTGGATGCTGTTAGTCACGAGAATGCAAACTGTGGTGTAAATCCTGCTTCCTTTTGATAGTTTGGCACAACTTTGGTGTCCTTTTATCGACGTAATTTACCTGAATTTTGGAATCCGAATTACATTCATTGATGCTTGGGTCAGACCATTGACGTATATGGGTCAGACATGTACACCGACTGATAACCTCACTTCTGAACAATGACATCACTTGAACACTTGAAACTAATGAAATAGTGTATCGGGCTCTGGCAGAAGACGTGCGACGTAATAATATAAGTGTGTAAAAATATTAGTTAGCTTCTACAGAGAATTGAACTCTTATATTATATTAAATCATAAATCTGTTCTCAAGTAGTTAGAGTTGGAAGTTGGTATTGGTAACTAGGGAAATTTCGTTCCCGAGACTGGCTGAACTGAACGGAATCGACCAATGGCATTGAACCACTATACCGGATTTTTCTAAAATTCAAAACAATGTAGCTAAAATTTTGAAAGTTATTTGCCGATGCTGAATTATCCGAGCATTGAAACCCTATTAAATGTGGTAGAAATGAAATCCTCATATCTTCAAGCATGATCCTTTGTAGGTTTCATTAGAATCTGTGGCCGCGTAAGCAAGAAATCTGTTGTGAAAGGTGAGCATGTCGGTTTCCCGCTACTGAACGGCCCATGTTACAAAAAATATTTGTCATTTTGGGCCTTTAAGTGCTTATAACTTTTTGAAAACTCAATGGATCTTAATGAAACTCTTCCACTTTGTAGTCCTAATTGAGATGCGTCCGTAGACACCAAGATCGTAGGAATCCGTGCCGTCGTTTGGGCTGCAGTCGAGTTCCAACCGAATCAATTTTCAGAATAAGGGAGTTACGTGTGTCTATGGTTGGCTGCCACCTTTTTTCGTTTGGAGGCCTTCCAGTGTTGTCGAGTTTAGACTTTGTCCGGAGGTGGCTACCGCCACCCATGATGTTATTGTTAAATCAGCAATCCATTTTTCCCGTACAATTTTAGTCTTTTGATTCTCTACCTCATATTTAAATGACGTTAAGTTTTCGCCTCTAAAGTAATTTTAATGGGCCATATAACAAGGTCTAAACTAGGTCACGTCTTTTTTCTTCAAACTTGACCAAAATCAAAGCTCTCGAAAAAGTAACAAAAATCATAATCAATTTTTCAAAACACGAATGGAACCGAGTTGCAAGAAACCATTATATGCACCGTCTTCGCTTATCATCGGTGCACAATGATGCGAATCAAACGCAATTTCGTTGATCGTAAGTTCGTATTGCCTGGATGCAACTATCCGAGCGCAACGGTTGTCATTGTTGCATGCGATTAAATGAAGGCGTTTCGTCTTCGCTTGACTGCGGAGCAATGCACGCTGAAGCTTTTGGTCTCAACCTACAGAGCCCAATGGGGCAGCCCTCGGTCTCTTCATCGATTAAATGCTGTTGGCAACCACACGTACACTGCCGTGCTAAGGTAAAACCTCTTATAAACCCTCAGGCGCTGTCCAATTTCCTTAGATAAAACGCGAGTTTTCTGGTAAATGTATTGATAATTTCCTCCCAATGTTTCGGATAATTTTTTTCGCAATTTCACCTGTAGTTCCTGAAAACTTCAAGGAGAAATGTTCATAACTTTTCTGAAAAATAAAAATCTTACCGAAGCACATGTTGGCAACTCTTGAATGTTCATACGGCGTTCTTCCTTAGCACAGCAGTACAGCTGACCAAACATTAAGAATCACCACGATATCGGGGGATCGGTCCGTTGCAAACATGAGATAAAACATGATTGTCGCGAGGGGCAAAAGAAGCACGCGTCCCACGCAAATGCGTGGGACGCCAACATTTTTCGCTTTTCTGTTAAATTTTTTAAATATTTTTTGATGGTAGCTAATGCGTGATTTTATTTCCCTTCTTTTATCTGTAAGAATTCATCGTCACCTTTTTAATTTATTATTTTAAATCATCGTTTACCTATATTTTTTTTTTCATTCTGAAACTGAACCAACTGATTACATTTACAGATATTGGGTTTGTTAGTGGCTTGCCTGTGCCACGACTTGGACCATCGGGGAACAAACAACGCCTTCCAAACGAAAACTGAGTCGCCTCTTGCTATCCTCTACACAACAAGCACGATGGAACATCATCATTTCGACCAGTGCGTCATGATTCTCAACAGTGACGGCAATAATATTTTCCAGGTAACTTCTAATCCTTCGAATATATTCATGTAGGTCTAGATAGACAGTGAAGGTTGAAAGATAACATGTGCAATTCTCTACAGCTTCCACTGCGAGTCTACACTGAAAAAAAAATGGTTGTGTGGTGAGAGTCCATACTGCTCGCACATACGGTCTGACTGTCGCGACTAGATCAGAGATGTGCCTTAAACATGTCGTGTATGGAGAAGCATGTGTATGAACTTACCGTTCATACGGTATAGAGTACATTCTCTTCGTAAATAATATTTGTTCATACTAAAATGAACTCTATCTCTATTCTTAGGTTGGCATCAAATTTTCCACAGTCCGTATGTGGACCCGACCCAAAATTAATGAAGCGTGAGTGCATACATTGTTTTTCAGTGTACTGCACTCAAAAGATACAGCTGTGTGAATAGACTTTTTAGGGGTGAAATGGTACAGATGAACATACATACATACATACATACATACATATGAGTCGCTTTTACAGCGCTCTTCGGCGCTCTACGACGCCCAATCGCCACAAAGCTCAGATGAACAACAATAACGAATCGGCGACCACTGAAAATGACCGGCATACACCTAGATTACATGAGGTTGTCGTTCGTTTATAGTGACCATTGACGATCCTTGAAAGTTGGTAAAATTGTTTTTTCTCCTTTGACATGTATGTTAAACAATCGATTCTTGGTGATGCAACTTGCCTCAACTGAAATCGATATTTTTTAAAAGAGAATTAAATTGAGGAAAAACAAATTTGCTAACTTGTAAAATCGTCTCGGCCTGCGACTGGAAAACTGCCCCCTCTCCCCCCCCCGGCGGGAAATTTGAAAAAGCGTGTTTCAAATTACGCAAGTGCGCACAAAGGTGTGAATTTCAGACTTTTAGCGGCTCTGGTGCTTGCACTAGAGCTGCTATTCCGGACGGTCCCAGCTGGGGAGTATCAACGGACCATGTTACATTGGAGAGACCGCGTGTTGGTTGATGGGAATCGGCGCCATTTTCTGCTGTTTAGGGGGGACTGATTTTATTTTAATTGATATCTTTTTCCTAAGAGCGAATGCTATGTTGTGTAGTGTATTTTTGGAATCATGGTGATACTGTCAATAATTCAAAACGGGTCTGTGCTTTAATCTCGCACTGGAAAAAATGTACTTTACGTTTAAAATTTGAAAATTCGAATCTATAAGTTTTCGCGCTTTTTTCGAAGAATGCCGTGGTTGGAGCTTCCTAGTCATACTACTCGACATCAGCTGATAGCAAACAAAGGTTACCAAGGAAACCGTAAACGCGTAACAACTACCTACCGTCGCCAGAGCCGCTTTCCGACGCGAATGCGTTGGAGCTTCCTGCTTGTTTTAAGGTTACAATCTTGATTTTATTGCCATTTTATTCCTAGAATGTATATTCACACAGCTAGGTATATTTTTTGCAAGCAACAGACCCTTTGTTGAGGTGTGTGAGCTTGAAGGGTCTCTATTTTGCCTGTCTCTTCCCGAAAGGGGCTAACATTTTGACTCATATGTAAACTCTTTTCTTCAAAAGATAAGGCACTAAGTAAGTGTAAGTGTATTAGTGTGAGGCTTGAAAAAAAAATGCTGGCTTCATCTTACTCAAAAATTTGAACTCGCGAGGATGGCAATCGCAAATACAAAAATTGCTTAGCAATTTTGTTAATAAATGAAGACATTTTTCACAAAATTTCGCCGTGCAGAAGATAATACAAGTTAGTACTACCACAATCTTCTGAAAATATAATTACAATTGTCTAACGGAGTAAATAACTTAGTAATATATCAAACTTTTAAAACTTTCCCCGGAAAAAAAATTGTTAGGAGTTATCCCCAAGAAATGTGGTACTACCCCACTTTGTTGGATGATGTGGATATTTCTAGGTAACGTTGGTTGTACATACAAAAAGTACGTTGAGTGGTTACGTGATAACGGCTGGGGTCAGGTCGCCACTCAATTTTTTACTTGGTTTTTATGTTTTTTCGCAGCTGAAAATGAGCTGGTAACAGCTCGAAACGTCCTGTGTTTTAGTGTTTTAATAACCTTTTAGCCTTATTTACCCATATTTTAATTAAATCTCCTCTTTATGCGTTGGTAGTACTGCAACTCAAGTTAGGGTAGTGCCGCAACATTTGGGTTAGTGACCTAATTTATTGGGGTACAACCACAAATAATTGGAAATGTCCAGGTTGGGACTGAACCCCTCCCTCTTTTTATCCGTGTAGAAACTAGGTTTACACCCACCTGTAATTGATATAGATCATTTGGACGTATTTCTATCAAACGGAACTATGTGCAATATGACGTGAGCCCTGTTATGCATACATTCTTATGGGTCTCAGGGCTTATGTCTTGATGCACATAGTTCCGTTTGGTAGAAATACGTCCGTTTGGTTTGCACTGCTCAGCGCTTCTGACAATAAAAAAAAAATCTTTTTGCAGGCCTTATCTACAGAAGATTACCGAACTGTGATGAAGATTGTAGAGAATTCAATTCTCTCTACAGACTTAGCAATGTACTTTAAGAAAAAATCGTTATTCATGGAGTTGGTCGAGAACGGCGAATTTGACTGGCAAAGTGAAAGCAAGAAAGAGAGTAAGTTTTTCAACATTATAATAAATGATCAGCAATTTTAAGGAAGAATTATGACACAAATTTTGATGTATACAGAGTAAAATAAGAGTATAAAAATTTCATCACGTTGAATTACTTTAATCAATACTGTGCAAGGAAAGGGAGGGAAAAGATGTTTCGCCTTTCCATACATAACATTTAAAAAAGTACTCATTCAAAACTGAGTGTAGATAAGAGCAGGACAGATTTGCTCAAACTAGGACCTTAATAAATCATTCGCTGTTAATTCCGTGAAATAATGGTCTCTCATTCTGCCGTGCTAAGGAAAAACGCCGTATGAACCTTCAGGCGTTGCCAAATTTTCTTTGATAACACACGATTCTCCTGATAAATTCACGAATATATCTATTCAATTTTTTCAAATAATTTTGTTCGCAAATTCTCCTAAACTTCCTGAAAATATGAAGTATCCTTCCTTAGAAATGAACTTTTCTAAGATCTTTCCTTAGGCATGAACATTTCATGGGAGGAAATTTGGCAACTCTCGAAGGTTCATAGGGTGTTTTTCCTTAGGACGACAGCATTCTCTTGCGCAGGTGTGCGTACACACATACACATGTGTTAAGGTAATATACCAAGTGAGGAGCCATTCATTACCACTACATAACATGTGTCACGGCTATAGTTCTCTATAGTAGATTAAAATGTTGTTCGTTACGTTTTTTTATCAGTTTTGTGCGGGATTCTCATGACTGCCTGCGACGTCGGGGCGATTGCAAAACCGTGGGAAGTTCAGCACAAGATGGCAAAGTTGGTTGCAGATGAGTTCTTCGACCAGGGCGATCTCGAAAAATTGCAGCTCAACCAGCAGCCAATGGTAGGTGCACGCCTCGCGTATTGATTCTATCATAGTTAATGGAGCGATATAAGCGTACGTGTGTCTATCAATAATATATTATTTTATATATATAATTATATGTATTATATATTATATATATATATATATATATATAATCCGTGCTCTTTGGTGAATTCGCTGACTACGTTGCGAAAGTGAAGGCAAATCTCAAATCTATACTGTCTTTCCATTGGTCCACAACTTTGTCCATCCGTTCCGTTACCGCAGGTGGAATGATAACGAGAGGGCTTATGGAGATACACTATTTCGACGGTGAAACTACCAAACCACGTATCTCGGTTTGCGACGTCGCAGACTTCCTGTCATACTTTTTTTTTTAAATGAAAAACTACTTAACATCCAGTCTTGAAAATTTCTGTGATTTTTCCTCTTTGTGCGGAGAAAATTCCGTGAAAATTTCAAGGAATGATATTGATTTGGTCTACTTCAAAAAAAAAAAAAAAATGTGAGCGTAGATTTTTAAACACCGCAAACGAGATACGTGGTTTGGTAGTTTCACCGTCGTTATGGAGATACACTATTCGCTTTATTTGCTCTCCATGGTGGATTTGCCTCCTATAGGCTGAAATTGAAGGCGAATTTCAAATGGTCTAGTAACAAACAGAATCTTGCACCGTTTATTCATTCTCTTAAGGTATGGAGTTATAAGTTATAAGGTATAAGTATAAGCTTGTATAAGTTTTTTTGTGTGTAAGTTTTTATTTACGGTCTGTTACAGGCTATGATGGACAGGGAACGAAAAGACGAACTACCAAAAATGCAAGTCGGGTTCATTGACTTAATATGCCTTCCTCTATATAAGGTACCTCCCATTTATTACGTATCTCTCTTCCTGCATTCCTTGCTCGATTTAAAGTTAGCGATGATGCTTACACATTAGAACATGGCGACAAAATATTTCAGAGAAACGTGATGTGTCTCCAAAACTAGTTGAAATTTTTGAGGGGAAATCTTGTCATTTCAGAGGGTTTCTTGTTTCTAGTTTGCAAAAATTATGACGGACATATTCTCAGCAAAATAACTATTGAAAGTAAATTATCTATCGTATGGCTTTAACCGGCGACTTTTCATCCTGGTAAAATTGAGTCATAACAACCATGTCACTGTGACGTCACATTTCTAGATGGAGAAAATCAAAATTGTTTCAGTCTGACGTCATTTTGACTTCACTTCGACGTCGTTTGATATCATTTTGATATCACACTGCTTCATGAAAAACGCTGGAGTTGTCATCATAAAGTCAGAGTGATGTCATAATCAGCCACTTATCACTTTTAATTTACCAATTACAGGTTTTATCGGAGACTTTCCCTTGGATACAACCACTGTATGAAGGAACAATGGAAAATCGTAGACACTGGCAAGATTTGGCGGAAAAAGTCGAGATGGGCCTTACTTGGATCGACCATGATGTCATCGAAAAACCGGTTGAAGAATTTTCTTGTAAGTGGCATCTTGAGAAAATAACATTTCCAGTTCGATTGTAACGTCACTGTAAAAAACTCTGTCACCGTGAGAGAGGGTGTGCATTCGTGCGGGTTCAGGTGCTATCAAAGATATTTTCATTATTTGCTCAAAAGAACTCGTTAAAGTCATGGTAACCTCAGAGTAAATTTAGCAACTCATAGAAACTGTTTTTCATCAGGAAGTTCGGAAAGGGTACCGGCTTATGCAGTTCTCACAGTTTATTCTCTTAAAAACCCTGCCTCTCACAACATGTTCCTCCATCCTAAGAGTTAAAAATTTGGGTGTTCGTGATTTTAAAATTTGAATAATTTTTAACAATTTATCAACGAATTGAGAAATGGTGACTGATCTACCACAGACATTGATGCTATTGATTACCACACTTTGAAAACAAACCTCTGAGGCTTCCTTATATACCCGACCAAATTTGTATACCTTTTTCTTATAAATTTTCATTCCATTTGGACGCTGCTCAGCTGATCTGGATGCAAAAGACATCGAGTTCACGGTCACAACGTTGAACTGTGTTCATTCTCTAGAAAAAAGAACACCAGAAAGGGTAAGTGAAAGATTTTATTTTCCAGTTTCTGGGGATAAAATCAGATAATGCTCATCGTGCAGAAGGCCGGATTTACCCACTTGCCGCCCATGGGCCGCCTGTATTTTGCCGCCTACTTGTCGTTCGTTTTAAAACATCAATAAAAACCATAAAGTGAACGTGCCGGAGGGGGGGGGGTGCGCATTAAATGTGTTTACTAGTGTTGGGCACATTTTTTGTGAAAGCCGTGTCAACACCAGCAAAATTTCACGGAACTTTGAGCAAAAGTTAAGTTACGTAAACTTACGTATCTCTATGTGAACAAGGCCTTTCATTTGTAAGAAATGAACGAAAAAATTATGAGAAAACAAACATAATTGTAGTTTAATATAATGTCAACTTCCACCGCCGCACTGTATTTGGCACAATGCGTGAAGTATCCTTACAGTCTTGTAGGCGCTATGCGTTTCACGCCAACCGCTGCTGACCGCTGACCGTACTGTGATTGACGCAATGCGGGAAGTATTCATGCAGTCTAGCAGGCGCTAATTTGTGTTACATGCCAACCGCCGCGCCGAGGGCCTCTCCTTTTCATCTCAAGTCCTCGCTCTGCACCGCGGAATGGCTCCAGGCCAAATTGCGTGTTAAGTTCCTCTCTTAACTCGACTAATAGTAGGGAAAAAATGGGGACACTGAGGGCACATGAGCATACGCTGTTACCATTTTGTGAAGATTCGCGTTCACAAAATGGTAACAGCGTATGCTCATTTGCCCTCAGTGTCCCCTTTTTCATTTTTTTTTTTTTTTTTTTTTTTTTTTATTAGGCGAAGGAAAGTTTTTAAAACCTATCCTCTCTACTGTCTATTAGAGAGGGGTGTGTGGGATTCTCCATGGAATAATGTGAATGGCATACCCACTAAAACCTCCGCCGCTCTAGCCATTTAAGATGACATAGAACTACTCTATAATTCGATATACATATTTTTTTTTTTTTTTTTTTTTTTTTTTTTTTTTTTTTCGCTATGAATATCAATATGCAAAAAAATCTTTACAGCCTATTGTTTATGAGTTGTACATTTTCAAAAGAATATTTTAGACCTTTCACTACCTATTGACTCCAATTTAATGGGCTCAGCGTGTTGGGTCTGCACAATTTAATGTTCTGTAGTTCCTCCATAACCTATCGACATCAAATTAATGAGCTCAGCATGTTGGACTTTTCGAACATTAGATGATAAGTACCTTTCACAACCTATCGACACCAATTTAATGGGCTCAGCGTGTAGGGTTATATCATTCAATCATAATAGCGAGTCCTTCACAACCTATTGACACCAAATTAATGGGCTCAGCGTGTTGGAAAAAAGAAAAAAAATGTACAGACGCATGATTGATATCGTTGTTTTTTTTTCATAAGTAATTCTTCATTACCTATCGATATCAACTTGATAAGCTCATCATTTTCGATTTTTTGCATACAGACATAAGCATTTCAAAAATATATATCGAATATTGACTTTTTTTTTTTTTATACTTTCGGTTTAAGTTCTGTAATAATATGTGCGGGTATTCGTTGAAAGTTTTGGAGTATAGAAAAATCTAACTTGCTCCTGAATTTACTTATCTGACTAATGCTCAATTTTTGAAAACGTGAAACCAATTTAAAATTTATAAGATCTGAAAACTCTTCCAAGAATTGATCATCGGCAATATCTTGATACCTACAAATTTCATCCCAATTATTTCTAACGCTATGTAGATGATTCCGAATGAAATCCAAACTTACATTATTATACTCTAAAACTTTAGACCAATCTAAATGTTGGCTATGATCATGCATAAAATCTTCACTTAAGCGTGTTTCAGAAATATCATCCCAGTGAAGAAAGGGGCTTAATTCCTCTACAAGTTGCCATGGTAATTCTGAATATCTATCTGTTAATTCTAATTTCCTAATTATATCTACACGTAAAGCCATTAGATCACCCCAACGAATATATTTACCTAATTGATTCAAATCCATTTTTTTTTTCACGAACACACTAAAAACTCTATAGTTTATTACTGAACTCCACTTTAGAACAGTTATAACTGAACTGCAGAATTTCAGAAAATACCTCCTTTATATAACATTTTCTGATTTTATCCATTCATTATATTTACTATCAAACCCTAAATATTTGACATAGTTGTAGCCAGGTTTACTTTTTATGATCTTTTCAATTAGATAGATATCTGGGTACTTAGTTTTTTTTATTTCTTCCTTATAAAATTTTCCTAGAATTTTCTCTCCATATATGTCTCGAAGAGAAAAAGTAACAGGCCTCGTTGGCTCTATTTTATCAATAATAAAAATTTCCGGCGTCCAGTTAAAATAATATGATTTATCGAAAATTCCTCTCTGCTTTGAAATTCTGACAGGATCTCCAACTTTTATTTTAATTTTTGTTTTTGGTGGAAGTGGTCTTTTTCTTAATCTTCTTAGAATTTTAGCCTCATTTTTTTCATTTACTTTATTTGGAGCTATACCGATTGTTCTATGAACTCGATTATTATACTTATCTACAATATCTGATAAAATGTCCAACCACCTATGACTACCTTGAACTGACATAGCTTTAAAAAGCCATGATTTTATAGTTCTATTCAACCGCTCTACTATACTTGCTTTCAAAGCTGAAAAGCTTGTGTAATGAATAACATTATATTGCTTTAATAATTTTGATACATGAGCATTTTTAAAATCTGTGCCCATATCACTCTGCAGATATTTAAACGGAGTTTCAATTTTTTTCAAAATTTTACTTAAAGCTTCAGCAACTGCAACACCTGATTTATTTTTCATAGGTTCTAAAAATGCTTTTTTACTAAAACAATTTATGACTACTAAAATATAATTAAAATTATCATTTTCTTTTGCATACTCACGTAATTCAATCAAATCTGCCTGATAAAGGTCATTTAATCCTTTTAAAACAACATATCTGCGTTCAAAATTTTTACGTGCTGGAGCATGCAGTTCATGAACTACTGCTTCTTTAATTGACTCACCGCTATTTTGTATTCTGGGAACAGATCTACCCATGATATAGTCTGATCATTCAAATCTAAAGCAAAAATATATCGTTCGTTATCTAAACTTGATACGATTGTGTTAAAACGATACCACCGAAAAACTTTAGCAAGATGAAATAATTCTTTTCTTTGTTCATCCCTAACTGTGTTTTGCACTTTTTCAAAATCAACGTTATTATGTAAATGTGTTTCTAATTCCTTTTTCACGTTATTAACTAGGTTGCTTATACTTTGAATTTCATTTGTTAAAGAATTCAATTTTTCACTCTGTACTCTTTTTATTTGCTCAAATAATACTTGAATTTCTTTCCGGATTGTTTGCTTATGCTCGTGAGTAACTTTCGCGTGAAGCGCTTGACCGAATTTATCTATAGAATCACTCATCATTCAATCACACCTTCCTCTTTAAGCTCTTGTTCTATGGAGTTTATCTCAATTTCAACGCCTGAATGTCCTGCTTTTTGTGCTGTTCTCAGGAGAAATAATCGCTCAACTAACTCATTTATATCATTCCAGCGTATATAATCTACTTTTTTATTAGTGACTGGTAGGAAGCCAGAGCCTGTTGCAGAAAAAATCTTTTGGATTATACTCCGATATTTTAAACCTGAACTACTAGCAATTGGTTTATCTTTGTCATACTTTTGTAAATGGGCGTTTGATGCAAGTAAAATTTCTTTATATGCATTTAAGTCTTCTTTAGTGTAAATATGTGGGTTTGGCAGCTTTTTGAATAATAATTCAAACAATCCTGGGGTCCCACTGAAAATGCGATCTTTTATATGAATGTCATCATTTTTATCAAAATCAATTTCAACGTTCCCAATGCGCCAAGTATTTTCATTAGCATCAATGCGAACTCCAAACTTGGTATCGAACTTGCCATCTTTATCCCTCCATAAATTTGTTAAATATTCATTGGAAACTGGCCCAATGTGTTCAGAATACTTTCTCCAGTTTTCTGAAATGCTATTTTGCAAATTATCCTCTCCACTGTGAGACCAAATTAAATTTTTCTTAACAGAATCCATAGAAGTACTTAATTTTTGATTATGACTTTCTCTTTCTTGATATTTATTTACTCCAAAATTTTCAAGTAATTTTACCTCTTCCTTTTTGTTGACTTGTTTTGAAATAATTGGTTTTTCAGAGTTGTGATCTGAAGTTTTAGTCAAGTCCACCAACGTTTGCAGCGGTTTCACTAAAGGTTCAAAATATTTTCTGGATTCATTTTCCTTCACTATCCAATCTTTCCTTAAAAGTTTATATTTTTTACGGATTGAATCGGCTGCTTTAATTATTTCTTCTTTTACGTCCATTTTTCTCTACAAACTGATAAACGAATCTAAGCCTTTTCGATACTTACCACTATTCACCGAGCAGTCTTTATTTATAGACAAAAATCCAAATGGTTCTATCCAGCATTCTTTACAAAGTATTTTAAAACTTTCAAAAGTTAAATCTGTACTAGCACAGTCATTATATGCATGTCTTAAATTCATATCATCGATTTGAAAAAGACAAATTAGATTAGCGTTGTCCCTTATTAACTGTTTTTTTATTTTGCTATAAGTTTGTGCAAGAAAAAAACAGTCTATATTTGAATGCCTACCCATAGAGTAAATCTCCTGAATAGCCGCCTGAGGTAAATTAATTACATCATCAAAAATACAGATTGAATGATTCTCAACATCTTCAGTGTCTAATATTCTATCATGGAAGTGGTAAAAGTGAACATCAGGAACGCGATCAAGAACTTTTTTTAAAAACTGATATTTAGGTTGATTAAACGATTTTGAAAAAAGATAAATATTTTTAAACTTGACACCATTTTTATCTGTAAGTAAAGTAAGGAGAAGAGAAGTTTTACCACAATTTGAAGGTCCTACAATCAATGCTCTCAAATGATTTCCTAACAGGATACTATGTTTGGGTACTTCAGACTTTATTTGATCAAAAGGAAAACTTTGAATCGGTAACTTAATCTTTTGCTTTTTTAATTTCATTGTAAAATTTGCATTGTACCTGTCAATGGTGTATACTCACACACATAATCTCTAATCAGAATACAATTTGCTGAGGTATCTGCTTCAATATCTGCTCCACATTCAAATTCAATGCGAATGCTACACGCGCCACTTCTTAAGTTTTCATTTTGATGACTACAATCTATTATATACAAAGGAGATTTTTTAAATTGCTCATACGATAACTGAGGATCATTGTAAGACTCGGAAAAATGTGGTTGAAGATTGCAATAAATATCATAAAACTCATTATATTTTGATGTCACGTTTTGATCTAAATCTTCGTGGGGAAAAACTTCATTATTCAAAATAAGTTTTACATTTTTTAGATTACAATGATCATATTCACTACTGCTTTTCAGTGGGTTATCATTTCTATTAGTCTGAAAGAAGAAAATTACGTAACGCGGTTTTTCTGTCATATTAGAAGTCTTAATATTCCAAGTTTGCTTTGAACTAGTCATTAATTGTGGATTCTGATAAAGCTCCCATCCTCTGAAAATTATTTTTAAGGGTTGATCTTTTTCTATTAACTTTAGAAATTTTAATCTTTCCACATCACTAACGCTAACAAAAGGTAATTTCCAAACACATTTAGTCAAATTTATTTTGCATTCTTCAGTTTCTGAAGACAATACTGCATCATTATCATTCCTAGCTCTTGTTAACAATACTTCAACTCGGGGATTAATTAAAACTTGTCTACAATCAAAACCTGTCGCAAAAATTACTGAAAAAGGGATTAACGCCGTAAAATTTCCTTTGGAATCCATAATTGCTTTACTGTTTTTCCACCCCATAGATTCTAATCTTGTTGCATCACCAGTACTAAAAATTGTGTAAATTTTAGGAATGCATATTAAACCAGGTTTATTGATAAGTTCTATTGTTTTATTATTTATTTTTAATTCTGCCTTATCGAACATATGTAAAATTCCACCACTCACCAAATCAGTTTTTTTAGGTTTTTCTGTGCCATCTTTATTTGTTAACCTTCCCTCAACGATTATATGACTATCATGTAAATAAATTAACGAATCATTTTGATTCATTGAAAAATGAATGACGTCATTGTGTGATAGTGCTAATGGATTATTCGGATGAATCGTTTGTTTTTCCTTTCTGAATATTGTATCGTCGAATTTGGGAGTGTCTAAAACTTGAAGCATTTCCATTTTTAACTTTATAGCCTAAACTTTTTAATATCAACTCACTTTGCTGCGTCAATTTAGGCGAATTTTCAATACAACTAAATTTTGTGTTGGATGAACACTCTCTTATATATCTTTTAAAATTATAACCCATGCTTCAAATGTAAATGAACAGTAATGGTTTCACCTCTAAAATTAAGGAGATTTCCGTTTTGATCAAGTAATTTAACAGATAAAGTATCAATCAATCTAGATTGAACGGGCAAATAAATAATTGTACTTGGAACTTGTGTAATACGAAAACCTGCTGGTTGTCTGATTGCAAAAGTGTGTAAAGTATGGAATTCCTTCCCATTCAAATAAGCACCAGTAACTAAATTACATTCTACTAATATTGTAGTAACTGTTGTGATATTTATAGGTAAATCAGAAATGTGTAATGTGTTTGGTGGCAACTCTTTTTTACTAAACCCCAATACAGATCCTAAAGAATGCGGCACGTTAAAATCAAGTCCATAAACACTTTTCAACTCACATTTGAGGGTTGAATGATTTGCTTTTAATGTAATTTTGTCAACACCTCCAAATAAATTTTGTAACTCTAACTCTAACGTACTAATTTCATAAGCTCCAGTAGGAAGAGAGATAAGTTTCCCATTGCATTTTAATTGATTATTTTTCTTTGCTTCAATATTCGGAATTGAATTATACGTATCTAAGCTTATAAGACCAATTGAATAATCAAGTGTAGGATTTAGCTCTATTGGAGGAAAAAAATTACATGATAATATCGATTTTTTTCCTGTCAATGTAAATGTTGACGACATTTTAAACCACACTCCTTGACTAAAAATTTAAGACATAAATGACCACAAATATAACTATCGAAAGTTTGATACGTGTCACTATTATATAGGACTGGTACTTTTGAAAAGTATTTCAGAATTTCGATTGGTGGTTGTAGGGCAAATGAATCAAAATAAAGTACTTTATTTTCCGTCCGACAATACGCTACCCAGTGTGATCCTGATTGTTGAGACTTTTGCAAATTAACGATTGCACTTTCATTCTGTCTAGGGCTCTTAAGCTCATCAATCATGAAAACACCCCGAAAGTGTCGAATTCCGATTTTTCGTGCATAATATTCTAATTCATAATTATTTAATGCACGTTTGGGTAGCTGTTTTATAAGTTTTTTGCTTCTTCATATGGGTTATAAGGTCTTAAGTACAAACCGAAGCCTTTCTTGAAGGGAGCAATCACTAAATTTTTATTCACTTCTTTTACTCCTCCACCCTTCCGGGCATTTTTTATGTTTTCTATAGTTTGTAAAATAGACTTAGCGTCATTGGCAATTGCTCCAACGCTAGAAAGACCCGCTAATATTGGCACCAAGTACTGTAAAATACCGCCCAATTTTGGTATTGGAATAATTCTAGGACCATGTTTTTTACCACCTTTAAAATTTTTACCTGCCTTTAAAGCAATTTTAATTGCTTTAGAAATGTCTCTCTCCTTTGTTTTTTTTAATGTAGATCTAATTTTACTAAGAATGTGGGGAAATCCAGTACCTGCACACATCCTTTTCCCTTTATTTTTTTCCATTTTTTTTCTTCCTTGCTTTTTTTCAGTTTTTCCCATCCCACCACCCATAGCAACTTTAGCTTTCATTAAATTTGTAACCAAGTAAGCAGTAAGTCGCTCCTCTAAAGGAGTATCTTTAGCAGTCACTCTTTCCCAAGCTTTATCTATTAAAATTTTATCTGCTTTTCTCCGTACCTCCGGGTCTTCGCTATTGTGAAAAACCAAGTCGTGGTCTTTGCAAAATAAGTCGAGGGAATTTTTAGGGGGTTTTCCTTCTCTTAAATTCTTTTCAACATCAGTTCCTGGTCCGCACCATGTGTAGGTTGGTAGCGTCAAATCTATGCCTTTTTCACCTAGAAAGTCAATTGCAGAATTTATAAATCCCTTACCTTTAAATTTCTTCTTTAGGCGGTACATATATACTCGTTATCGTGAATAAAAAAATTGAAAGCAGTTGGAATACATGTATTATTCATTTATGCATTTATGAATAGCAACTAAGATTAACAATTGAATTATATATATATATATATATATATCCGCGCCATCAATGGGCTGCTTCGCGGCCCTATTTTTACCTCCTATCAGTGTTAGTTTCATTTTTCCCCTCAAAAATTACAATATGAGGTATACTTTGTAGAATGAAATAATTTTTGGTTTTGATGAATAATGAGAAAACTTTATTTTGAAGTCAAGAGGAAGCGTCTTGGAATGACTCCTTCATGAAATATTGCAGTAAAACAACGAAAAATGATAATCAGGTAGCAAGTAAATTCAATAGAAGTCGGGGCATGAACCCACACCTTAATCCAGGTGGACGCTACTGAAGTCTTGACGTCTTAGTCGACTCGGCCACCGCTCTACCTAGCCGCAAAAATCATGAAAATCGGCCTGGTAGATCGCTGGAAATAAGCGTTACCAGTTACGCAAAATTAGGAGGTCTCGGAGCTTATAGTATAGATATCCCCTACAAGCTGAAAAAGGCATCTCAAATTGGGTAATCATTGATCCGAATTTTCAACACTGCTGGTCAACGTTAAAAGCATTGATTATCCACTTTTCGATGGTGAAAGTGCAGAAGTGCGTATCTCGACTTTTGACAGTTTTGACGAATCCGCCAAAAATAGGTTTAAAACACTAATTGCAGAAATGCGTATCTCGTGATAAAGTGTCAATTCTTAGTGCCGAAAACGCGAATCTCGGCATTTCGGCCGTATTTTCTAACAGCGCGAGAAATTATTCAAAATATTGATGAAGTCTGAAAAAGCATCTTATTCTTGCTAAAAAAAATCCAGCGTGAAATTCTCGCCGCACTCTGAGTGAATAGATCAGAGCGTGAATATCACCAACAACGGACGAATTAGGTTAACTCCATCAAATAGCGTGATTTCAGTAGCATCCAATATGAGCGTTGAATGACTAAGTGGTAACGCACTTGTCTATCACCGCTGCGATTCGAGTTGACAACATGGCAGGATCGCGTCAGTGATCACTCGCTGAATCTATAATTACCTGTAATTTAATCTTCAGCGCATATTATTAATAATATTTTCAAAAATTAAGAAGCTCTTATTCAAAAGAAGAAAAAACGGACTTACATTTTTTCCCAATGGAGAGCACAAGTCACTAAAGCGCTAAGGGCAACACAAGATCACACAAATGAGCGAATTGCAGTAACACCTAGTCCTCGGAAAATCTTTTTATATGCTCGGCATAATAAGGAAACGCATCCTAGAAAAACAAAGCTACCGACGTCATTTTTCATTTTCAGCTTACAGTGTAAGCTTAGTGTGGTAACGATTATCGCATCAATAACCATTGCTCATAACCAGGATGTGGTTTGTATCTCCCATCCATCAATTAGCTACTACATTGTATCTAATCGCTCGCTTGTATCTAATCATCACGCGATAACCTGTAATTTAATCTTCAGCGCATATTATTAATGCTGCAGTGGGTGCATCTCATAACTATGAACGTCACGCCTTTTCTTAAACGCTTACATTGTGAGTTGCAATACAAATAGTTACGTCCACTCTTGCAATCCTCCTGCACGATGCGCTCCTTGAACCCCCATTTCATATCTACTACTAATTAAAGGTGCTGTCTCATGTATCCCGAAAGACGACAAAATTAGATATTACTTTACTCTCAGGAGATGAGAGATTTTGTGGCCTTTTCTCGTTTTTCAAATCCGATTTTTATTTATACCTATATTTTAAAACATTGCAAAATTTGCCACCATGGGCCACGGCCAATGTGCCCCCCTCTCCCCCCCCCCCCCTGTATCCGGCCTGATTGTACACCAAGTCAAATATCTACATCCTTTTTGCATTTTGTGGTTGGTCACTAAACCATGTGACCGAATTTTGACTTGTAAACAGGCCCGCCACATCCCATCTCGGGCCCTGGTACCAGTTTTAAGGTCCGGGGCCCAAGCACGGAGGGGGGGGGGGTCCGAGAGGCATCCCCCGAAAAATGTTAGAATTTAAACGACTAATTGGATGCATTTTGAATTGTATAAAGCAAACGGGTAATTTTTATAGGAGGATTATAAATAAACAAGTTGTTAGAAATGAAAACAAAAGAATATGAACTATGCAGAACGATAATCCGGGTATCGGAACTTGGCTGTTTTGAAAACGCCTTCAAATGCGGCGTGATACCTCACGCATTCCGGAGAGTTCAAATAGTTGTATCATTGCGCCGTAAGAATGTGACGGAAGATTTAAATGGAAATAGCCTCCATGCACGCTGGGCTTGTTGATTTCCTTTGACATTTTTGCAGTGGTGAATGCATAGCTGAAGTGCGCTCCAGCTAGAATTGTATTTACAAATGGGTGGTTTTTCTACGAGGATTAAAAATAAACTAGTGGTACGGAATCAACAAAAGAATATGAACTATGCAAAACGACAATCCGAGTATCGGAATTTGGCTGATTTGAAAACGCCTTCAAATGCGGCGTGATACCTCACGCATTCCGGAGAGTTGAAATAGTTGTATCATTGCGCCGTATTAATGTGACGGAAGATTTAAATGGAAATAGCCTTCATGCAGGCTCGCCACATCCCATCTCGGGCTCTGGTACCAGTTTTGGGTACAGTGCCCCAGCGTGTTTCTGAAAATCGATTCACCTTTTGCGAAATTTTTAGGGTAAATTTTTCAATTTTTCTTACGAAACAAGGGTTGCGTGTGAATTCGTAGTGGTTTTTCACGGGTAACACGGGCTCTCTCCGAAGCCCGGGCCCCGGTACCAGGGACCCAGTACCCCCCCCCCCCCCCCCCNCCCCCCCCCCCCCCTTGTGGCGGGCCTGCTTGTAAATATGTTTGCTGAAGCTAGATGACGTGTAGAACTTGAAACGCACATTAAACTCGTGAAAAAAAAAAATCAGAAACTGGAGTTATGCAGCTCTAAAAGCGCATCTTTTCTGTAAAATTTTCTTATTGTAAAATCTACATATGTACATTGAAATATGTTGGACACTTTAACTACAAAATTGTTAAAGGGTCAGTTGCGCTGGTAACAAAATTGTGTTTTGATGCTTGATTCCCGTAGATTAGCTAAAAAAAAGAGAAGATCTGTCTAAGCAGCAACTTTCTACGTTGAATATTAACCGAGAATTCGTCTTTTGAAAAGTCGAGTTTTTGACGTCATCCACCGCGGTAGTGCATAACATGGTATGTGCTGCCGCGGTGGATCATAAATTGAGTTCTTCAAAGCGCTATATCTCAGTTAGTATTTAACGTAGAAAGTTGATGTTTAGAGAGATCTTATTCTTTTTAGCTAATTTAAATGAATCAAGCATCTAGACGCGGAACTGACCCGATCAGCAGTTTCACTTTTTCCGTGTCAAATTAGAATATACAAGGTTTAGTGACTAATTGGACTAATTTCTATCAAAAGGAACTAAGCGCCAATTTGAGTTCCTTTTGAGGAATTTAGAATCCCGGAGAGCGCGTTCTGTCAAACGGACCTAAGCGCCATGGAAAAGCATTGCGAGTATAGGACGGAATAAGCCGGACACCCGATTCCGTCGTCAATCCAAGCCTCCCTCTACCTTCCTCACCATATCGACGGTGAAACTACCAAACCACGTATCTCGTTTGCGGTGTTTAAAAACCTACGCTCACATTTTATTTTTTTGAAGTAGACCAAATCAATATCATTCCTTGCAATGTTCACGGAATTTTCTCCGCTAAAAGAGGAAAAATCACAGAAATTTTCAAGACTGGATGTTAAGTAGTTTTTCATTTAAAAAATAAAGTATGACAGGAGGTCTGCGACGTCGCAAACTGAGATACGTGGTTTGGTAGTTTCACCGTCGATATGGCGCTTAGGTCCGTTTGATTGAAATACGTCCAATTGGACTTGCGCCCTTTGAAAACTATTGTATTGATTTTGACATATGCTTGTGTTCCAGATCGCTGACGGAGACTCGATGAGCCTGGTCTCGGCGTCGACGGTGCTGGGGCACGGGCGGAACGGCGGTGGGACCCGCTTCGCGAGCCTGCGCAAGTCGAAGGCCTTCGGGAAGACGGTGCGGGAGCGGTTCTCCCGCTCGCTGTACCAGCAGGCGCAGGCGCAGGCGCAGTCCTCCGGCTCGGGGCTGGGGCAGGCGGCGTCGCCGTCCAAGGAGCACATGAGCGAATCCGTCTCGAACCAGGACTCCCTCTTCTCGCAGACCTCGAGCAGCACCCGCTCCACTGACAAGCTCGCCGCCGTCGCCTCCGCCATTCCCGAAGACGAGGAGAAGCCCCACGAGACCAAACCGCCCCCCAAGGCCAAGTCCAAGATATGCCGCATCATTTGAAATTAATCCAGGGCACCCTAGTTATCTCTTTACCATATGAAAAAATTAAACACTAAAAAGTGGCCCGAAACTGTATGTAACAAGGTGGAGAAATGGACGTATTTATGCTAAAAGGAGGTATGTGCAAGTGGAAAGATGGGGTGTGCTCGTTAGTGGTCGGGCCATAAGAAACAATGTAAAAGTGGATATAGCTCCTTTTGAGAAAATTGAAAAGCGGGATTTGACATTAAATCAAAAGGAGCTAAGCGGCAAAATATGCTAACTCATGAGCCGCGGGCATGGCAAGAGAGCGTTGTGGACAGGGCTCATGAGTTAAAGAAGCCGGACGACGATCCCGATCCCGAAACCGTCACCGCACTCACCGCTGACGTCACTGGCGCTTTATATTCCCCATTCATTCTTATGGCCCGACCACTAACGAGCACACCCCATCTTTCCACTTCCACATATCTCCTTTTCGCAGAAATACGTCCAAATGGTGCTGGGTCCACACCATTTCGCGGGTAAACAAAGCCAAGAAATACCACAAATTAAAATTAGAGTCAAAAATAAATTTTTAGAACTCTAACGCGCACCAGCACGAAACTGAGGGGGGAGAGTGTTTAGCTCGGGCAGTTTGCAATGGAATATTAAGTTGAAGCCACGCCGAGAGATCTACATATACCGGTTTGGGTCTTATTAGACCTCATCAGCAGATCACACTCGGCAGTGAACCCAACTTAACATGCCGCAAAATTCAAGACGGCTGTTACCATATATGGCTGTTTACCATTTATATTACTTCCTTTTCTTACTTTCATTAACTCATTTCGGTTGACCTCCCGGAACTTTTCTTCGCAAAACGATTCTTGTGAGTCAAATGTAACCCGCTAAGAGGGAGGAAATTGTATTGATTTTGGAACATTAATTTTTAGTTTTTCTATAAGTCTGCAGCCGGTAATTTAACATTTTATCCCATTCTTGTTTGTTAGATTTGAACTTTAAAAGTTTTCTGTAGACTTTATCTGGTGTAATTCAAATCTTACTCCAAAAAGTAAAATGTTCGAGTAACATTATGTAACGCATAACGCCGGAGGCGCGAAGCGCTTCGGTGAGTTGCAGCACGAAGTGGCCAGGGGGCGTACCCCATACTCAAAATGAAATAAAGCTGATAGGTAACGATTTATGTTCTGGAGTAAGTTTTTGTTTCCTTCTTTTGAAATTTAAGGCACCATAAATGGATCAAAAACCTCATTTTAGACCCAAACATTGCTCACCCCCCTTTTTATCCTTTTTATTCTTTGCTGTAGTCTGAAAAGCTGGACGTCGTGAATGAATAACAAAGAATCCTCTTATTTCATTCCCTCCTATGAATAGTAATAATCTTAGTAAGTCTTCATGAGCAATAATTTTCATTTTAATCATTTTCTAAATCGTTCGTTTACATTTTTTTGCTGAAACACTCAGTGCAGATTTAAAGTCCTTAACTTAGCTTCCCCGATTTCAGTTACCTTCAATTTAAAGTAGATTAAGACTTCTCTTTTTTATCGTGATAAGTAATGAAAAAATAGTATTTTATATTCAGGGGTACCTGGGCGTTATTGACTATTTGCTATATTTAGAAGAATTACCCGACTTTAATGTATGTTACTTTGTTGTTTCATTTTAAAATCTTCTTTTAGGATTTGTGTAATGTTCTGCTTTACCCTCAAATGCGTCCGTTCGGCAGAAGAAAATTGTTTGAAAGTTCCGGAAAATGCGGCTGGTATTTAATGGATTTTTAGTACGCTAAATAAGGAAGTTTTTGGTTTCATGGAAGAATGCCTGATAAAGCATTTTCACGAGAAAGCGTTGCTTTGCATTAAATTTCTTGGTGAAGTAAATGAAATTTTTTTGGGTGCACTCAAAAAAAAAAAATGTTACTTTAAGCTTGAGCAAGCTTGATTCAGCATGACGGGCGTCTTAAAAACGGGTACAAGCTTACAGCATGTTACGGGAACATAATCAAAAATGTTGAAGAAACATGATAGCCGTCATGTTAAATCAACATGATAGCCGTCATGTTAAATCAACATGACTGTCGTCACGTTGACTTAACATGCTGTCGTGTTGATTTAACATGACAATCATGTTGATATACGAGTACGTCAAATGCTACAAGTTAAAATAAATTACGTTATTTTTATGATAATTGAATCGTATTTTAATGGAGTTATACTTCCGATACTACTCTCAACCCAGAATCATCCCATCCGACCTATCAAATTTTTCCGACTTTTTCGGGATTTGAACGCGGGACCTACCTATTACAAGCGGAGTGTTCTACCAACCGAGCCATCCGGGCTTGTGGTTCCAAAAGACGAATTTTAAGTGTTTCCATATCCCACTGAATTACTTTTTCCTTCTTTTGCCGTCTAAGTTGTGTGAAATGCATACCGCATCAGATTGTTAGATTTTTCTTTTTTTCCATTCACTATTTACGAAAAAGAATTTACATAATGCACCATATAAAAATTAACAATTTATCACGAACTATTTTTTTCTCCTCCAACAACGATGTTCACTTTCTTCAGTGTTTCCGATTGTCATTTTTATTCTTATTTTATATCATGATAATAATTAATAATTAATAATATAAATAAATCAAACATTGAAAATAAAAAATATAATCAAATAATTAGAAACGTATGATTCTAAGAGCTTTAACCACACGAGCGAAAATGTTTTTGAACGAAGAATAATAAACTATCATCAACTTAAAAGTAATTCTTTTTGTTTCATGTGTAAGTATTATTACCATATTACCATTTATTTGTCATGGTGAGCGTTAAAAGCGTTATTCGAGTCGATTTATTTTGTTTCCAAAAGTGTCTCAATTGTGTTTTTACCTTATCAATTGGGTATCCAGAAATTTTTTTAAGTAAATACTTTGGGACGTATTTCTTAAGAGACTTTTTCAGAATGTACCAACGAATGGTTTGAAAAGAGTAATAGTACCAGTTCTCTGAATAAAAAATAGGTACGCTATTTTTAATTTGAACGTTACTCGCAGTGAGTAGACAATCTTGTCTAAGTGTCAAGACTATCGAGTCAGGTGGCTTAGATGTCTAGCTTATGAAACGAAATCATGAATGGAGGGAGGGGGAGGGTGGGGGAGGGAGATGAGGAGGAGGAGGGAGATGAGGAGGAGGAGGGAGATGAGGAGGAGGGAGAGGAGGAGAACACGCCATCCCCCTTTTCAGTAAGTAGATGATGTTTCAAGAGCACCACGGTACTCCTGAAACAATATGAAAGCAAATGGTAACATAACACTGCATATGCTAATTCAACAAAATGTCAATGTTCTTTCAACCAAAGGAATGGTAAAACAACATGTGAAATGCAGTTTCAGTCTGACATAATGCTAAATTTACATGAATTTGGTTGAATTAACATGCGTAATCTTACTCGAATATTACCGTCATGTTGATTCAACATGACAGGTAGAAGCATTCTCGGTCATGTTGATTCAACATGACGGCAAATGTAGAATTAAGTCAAACCATGTTGGGTTACGGGGAGTGCAGCCTATATCAACATAATTTCTGTGATGTCATTTCAACATGGCGGTTAATGCTACTTCGACATTTCCTTTTTTTTGAGTGTGCCCATGAGAGGTCTGAGGATTATCAATCCACAGATCGTAGCTTTACAATTGACTTTATGTCGCGGTGATTCTCATTTGGACTTCATTTTGCAATTTGGAACTATAAATTCCAGCCCGGTTCAAAAACAACGTATGTGCCATTAATTTCCCTATGCACATAAGTGGTTTTCCAGAAGAGCCAAAATTTATAGTTCCAAATGGCAGAGTACAGCCCATTTAGAAGTAAACGGAAAAAAAATGGCATTGCTGATTTAACAATTTTCTAGTTTAAAAAAGTGTCCGGCATATTTTAATGCAAATTTTACAATGAAAAAATGCTAAATCAACCACCACCACGGTTCAAATAGCTTTCCACTAATGTAAAACGTACATTACAAACATGTCGGGCATATTTTTTAACAATTTTATTTTTAAATCAACAATCCACTTTTTCCCGTGCAGGAAAATGCTTAAAAGTGGGCGCCAGCTCTCCCATTTACATTACGACTCTATGGACTCTATGAAGAGCTGTCGGATGTAATTGGACACGATTTTCCTCTCTGAATGGTAACCCCTTGTATGAGTACTATGGAGCCACATGATGCGAGCCCCTGCATTAGGGATGCAATAGATAAGTCTCTTCTTCTTCAAGATTTGTTCATGCATATTGGACGTATTTTTGTGTAAAATATATTTATTCATGATGGAATACGCATCGATCAAAGTATCGATGGAATCATTGTGCCAAATGTTGTATAGGTAAACGTTATCTTCCCTCTTTTAAAAATGTGATAATAATTAACTAGATAAGCAATGGAATTTATTGTGTTTGTTCGTATATTTCTCAACTCATTTTTAAAGCACTTTCTAGTCAACTCTCTCTGCTTTTGTACCTATTTCAGTTCATTTGTAAATCTCAGTCTCTAGGTCTCAATCATGTCACAGCTTTTGCATTCTAGACTGGGACTTTTGCAGCATTTAACTTTTTGCAAGTAAGGTTGACAAGTATAAAACGCGGTAACGTAAAATGTATAACTTAATGTTCGTAGATACACGATGTAATACTTTATAGAGTAAGTAGGTTTTACTCACTGACACTGTGATCAAAAGAATCCGGGTATATATTATGTATAGACATCAGCAAACTCTCTTCCCCACCCAATATAAAGCTGGACTAGAATGTCCAATTTCTTTATTTCAGGAGAATCAATCGCATTACATAGAAATTATTTCATCAACTTATATCTCCTGAGGACGGAAAAATTATTTGTGATGTGTATACTTCACGTCGTAGTAAAAAATACATCCATTCGATAAATGCATAGGAGGGCCCATAGAGAAAATCAACAACATCAACCATCAGAATAAGTTTAATCAATTACTCAACACCTGAGGTTACAATCTCACAAAATACAGTTTATACCTATCACATCACTTAAAAGTCTATGATATATTATAAAATAATTTTTTACTTAAATATCAATCAATATCTTAACTATTTTTTGGATTAACATTATAAAGCAAAATTTCATCA